AGTCAACAAATCTGAAACATTAAAGAATTGTGTTTCAGTTTTAATCTCTTTTTGATAACTATTTTATTAGAAAAGGTATGATACTTTATGAATAATAACTTCTTTATTATATCATGATGCAATGTTCTTATACCATTGTCAAGCAAGACATTCTTGGTCCATCAAAATAAAGAAGTTGTCATCCATTAAGTGTCATGCCTTTCCTATCATTCAAGAGCTTCTAAAATGCAAATCCATCAGAACTATTTGATTGGCATTCTAGTAGTTTGTGATTAGATAAGAAAACATACTGCTTTATGGATAACAACTTCTAGTTTATTGCACCTGTATCAAACAACCAAAGGTATTTCCAATACTACTGCCCTCACAGCTAGTTTCAGTGGCTACATCTGCTGAGGAATCGGTATTGATTGCATTAAGACTGATTGACAGGGGATTATTGACACAAACAATTTGTATATGATGGCTGTAGCGTTACAGAAACAATGTCTTCAGATATTCTGTTACTGGTGATCAGTGTTAGTGACAAAAAGATGTTATTGATCCAATTTCAGCCTCTGAATTCTGTTGCATTCTTCAAATTATTACATCTTTGACGTTGATTAAACATGAAAATATGAAACTTATTTATGGATAAAAACTTCAGTGATTTTGTTACCTTTGTCTGAAGAATGAATAAAAACTTGCTTTTTCAAATCGGCAAAATTAGGTATTCCTGCATGTAGTGACTTTGGTTTTGTACCTCTTTCAGTAATGTTCAAGCAATATATTGCTTAGAAAGGGCTTCGGGGTCGGTGGGGTAGCCTAGTGGTTAAAGCGTTGGCTCGTCACGCCGAAGACCCGGGTTCGAATCCCCACATGGGTACAATGAGTGAAGCCCATTTCTGGTGTCCCCCGCCTTGATGTTGCTGGAATATTGCTAAAAGCGGCGTAAAACCAAACTCACTCAGTCAGTCAGTAGAAAGGGCTTCGCAAACTGTTACATGTGGGAATCAAACCTGAGTCTAGAGATGACAAGCAAATGCTTTAACCACAGAGGTAGCCCATTGTCCTATTATGTACAGTTAGGGTTTGAAGGATATAAATACATTTTCTATTTAGCACTCACTTTAACTTATCAGACATTTGGTCCATCTGTTATGGATGCTGTGGACAATTCTGTGTTATTACAAGACTGATAATAGGAGGAATAACTTTAGGTTATTCTAATTATTTTCGAAAAATCTGCATCAGATCTTCTCTCAGTGCTCACTTAAAAACTTTTAAAAAATGGGTTCTGGTTATCAAATTTACAAACATTTAGTCTCAGAAATAAAGTTATGCTCACAAAATTTTATATCTACCCCAAACAGTGATTAGTTCTGTGACGTAATATAGACTTGTGTCCATGGAATGCATTTTGCAGAGTTGCCTACCTTAGGTGTGCCAGAATCTTGTGACCAATGGTTCAAATATTGGTTGACTGGATCTTTTTCTTGATGTATTTTTCTACCAATACTTAGGGGTTTCAATGGAGTTGAAATTAGTGAACACCTGCATCATTCTTTTCTCCCATATCGGGGGCGGTTGGTTAGCCTAGTGGGTAAAGACCTAGATTCAGTTCCTCACAGGGGTACCATGTTGGAAACCCATTTCTGATATTGCTTGAATATTGCTAGAAGTGGCATAAAACCATGCTCAATCACTCTCTTATATCAGAGAGTGTTTGGTAGCCTTGTGGTTAAAGTATTGCTCACCATGCCAAAGACCTGGGCCTAGATTTTCGAAGCTCTCTTAGCGCTAAGATGGTCGTAAGTTAATGTTAATGTATGGCACTTACGACTATCTTAGCGCTAAGAGAGCTTCGAAAATCTAGGCCCTGGGTTTTATTCACCATATTTGTATCATACATGAAGACCATTTTGCTGTGATATTACAATAAAATTGCTGAAAGCAGCGTAAAAACTGACTTACTCACCCTGTCACACCTGCTGACATACAGCAATACCCCTGAAAGATGTTGTGTGCCTCATAATAAAGAAGTTGACATCCATAAAACTTTCTCTTAACTGAAATACTGCAGAAAGTGGCATTATAACAAACTCACTCCTTTGGTGAAAACACCTGATGCCTGCCACCCCTGTTCATGGCGTGACCTTGACAGTGGGAATGGCTAACCAGCACTGATTTCATTGGAACATTTTCAGCCAGGTCTGGCTTCCAAATAACCAATCTCAATCCCCAAATAAATCTCAATTCCCTGTTGTATAACATCTAATCACATGTGATAGATTATTGGCAGATTAAGGATTACTTTTAATGGTAATTAGCTAATCTTTGAAAGGGATACCAGCTTTACCTGTAATTACCCATTTACCTGTAATTAGGGAGCTGTAGACACCATTGAAACAGATAGCTTACAGCTTAGGAATGTCTTTTGTTCATTTGTAAGCCTGTTGTATGTTATCTAATTAAGTCTATGGCTTTGTTAAGTGTAAATCAGTGGCTTTGATATGTCTATGAAAGTGGATCTGTTGGTTCTGCACATGATTTATGCAATAAAATTGTAATTGAGGGTGTTCACCTGTTAACATATATGTTTACCTTGAATTTAATTATCAATAAATAAATATTTATTTTACAAATTAATTATATAATATGAATGGCAGTAAGATAGTCAGATTTATCAGTGATATTAAGTCCATCTCTATATTTCTGTTCTGATGTACATATTGTTATTAATCTATACTTATGTATTCAATTTAGTTTAAATGCAACATTAACAGTTTATCTGTCATATTTATGAATGCACAATGCTGTTTGAAAAGTGGTCAAATGTGACATTTTATATTTAGGATTACACTTTCTCAGTAAGGTACAGATTCTAGTACTTTTGTTGGGTTAAGTCCCACCCAGGATACAAACCCACACTCTCATACATGCCATGAAACAAATATATCCAACACAGCTCATCAAATCTGTAGTACTTTGCAAGTCTAAATTACTGCAGTTTCCAGACATTCAGAGTCCCAGGGCTCTATATTATATTAAGATAATTTAGCAGCTGTTTGTGCAGTAAATATATTAAGATATTTTAATTTACACTAAAATAATTTCTCATAGACTGGATGTTTGTCTCAGTTTGTAAGCTCAGTTGTGTTAAGTGTAATGTAGTGTTGTGTATATCACACCTTCACTGGTGAATAAGCAGATATACCATTTCAGTGCTAGAGTCAGATATTGTACATGTAATGATATTACCAATATCACCTGGGGTGCAGTAGGCCTGGAGATTACTCACTGACCCATGTATGTAACAGGTAGATCTAAGACTTCAGCTGAGCAACAGGGGATTAGTGTAATTCCTGCTACCTAGGTCTCGTTAGTGTTTCCATGGACGCCAGGTACAGGTGGGTTCCTTATCCTGTCAAAACATGTCTCGTCGGGAGTATATAGGTGAGGGGTTTACTTTATGGCAGCATTCGATCACAGCATTTGATCACAGTCCTCAATCGGGTAACATGGCAGCAGAGTACGATCCTCTTGTCTTGGCTGTGAGTAGATATACCACTTCCCTGGATACTTCTTTCATTGAACAACAGCACTCTGTTGGATTGACATGTTTATGTGTTAATTCATGGTGCTCTGTGAAGGGTGGTTTTCAACTTTGGATTTATCAGTGTTTTATGTACCATTCTTGCTCTAGTGGAGGTTCTTTCTTTTTTGTGGGATTTACTTTTGTGCCTGCGATATATTTGATTTAGATTTAACTTTGTTTAAACAAGATTTACTGTCAAGGAGTTTGAATATTTTATGCAGTTATAATGGAAAACACATCTTTACTTAAAGATAAGTTTGTCTGATTTTAGTTTGAATTATTTTTGTACTGACAGTCATATTTAATTTTTTGTCAAAGAATATCTTTAGAAGTGTAATTTCTTTTTGTCAAAGAATATCCGAGTAAGAGGCATTAATGTTTTGTTCTGTTGTATTTTAAATATGAGAACATCATTAAATGACCTCATGTGTCAATATTTTTGGAAAAATGGTAGTTTAATACTATTTCCTTGTTGTAGAAATGAATCATGCTTAATCATTACAGATTGTATACATTTCTGTTGACAAAGATATTTTTATAAATTATACCTATGGAGCCAGAACTGTTTTGCAGACTGTCTGCACGTTTGTAGATACTACATCTGTCACAACTACCTTTAATGTATTTGTGTCAGGAACTGCATGTTAAATTACCTGGACTGTCATTAAGTAGAGTGCAATTTGAGATAAGGCTGACAAATGGCTATGTTGTCAACATTTAAGGCTTAGAGACCTCAAGTATGATGACATAGGTTTTGACCTCTTTGGGGCAGTCTTTTAACAAGTCTGTTAACAAGTCTATTCAGTATGACAGGTTCCGTCCTGCCAACATCAAGTTTCCAGTAGTCAGGGCAAAAGGTGTCTCATTTGTTCAGTGTTAAATGTTAATAATGCAATTTTTAATTTTAAAATTGAATAAGCAAAATTTTGTTTGCACATTATTTTTATGGTGGTGATCTATGTAAATCTGTACGTGAAAGTACAAAGTGTGAAGATGAATTTTCTTTCTTATATTATGGTATTTTTCTTGAGACATTCATGTGATTAACAATAAATTTATATACATTGAAGATGACAGCTGGACTATAGCTTATTACTATAGTCATAACAATATAGAAATTGGTTCATGCCATAAGAAAATACAAATCTAAGTGAGGGGTAATCCCAATCCTTTTTGTACAATTATTTTCACCAACAAAACCATAAGTGAAGGTAGTATTTGGTGTTTGTACATAGTGGTCTGCAAGCCACAGGGAAACAGGAAGTGTGACAAGAGTTACTGTTCTTGTTTCAGCATTAGCCATGTTTAGAATTCTTTTCACCAACAAAATCACAAGTGAAGGTGGTACTTGGTGTTTGTACATAGTGGTCTGCAAGCCACAGGGAAACAGGAAGTTTGACAAGAGTTACTGTTCTTGTTTCAGCTGGAGCAGTCCCTGAAGGGAGATGGCCCCGATGCTGATTCCCCTTCCACGGGGCTGGTGCAGCAGAACATCGAGCTGCGTCGGAAGCTGGAGGAGGAGCACTCCAGCTACAAGAGGAAGCTCCAGGCTTACCAAGATGGCCAACAGCGCCAAGCTCAGCTCGTGCAAAAACTACAAGCGAAGGTATTTGAAGAACCCCTGGAACAATGTGAATTGTTCTATGGTTGGGTGTCTTGGGAATTCTTGGTCAATGGCTCAGTAGTGGTATCTTGGGAATTCTTGGTCAATGGCTCAGTAGTGGTATCTATGGAGAATTATTGGTCAGTGGTATCTCCATTTGAGATATTTTCCTTTCAACTTAGAAACTGTTGGGAGTAATGGTTGAGTGCCTTTGGAATTATTGAAGAATGTAGTAGTGGTATCTCAAGCAAAGATTTATACATTTGATCTCAGGAAAAATGGGGAGTAATGTTGGGTGTCATTGGAAATATTGGTCAATGGTTGAGTTGTGGTATCTACTGGGAATTATTAGTTGATGGTTGTGGTATCTCTAATTAATCCAAGCTGGTACCAAAGCTACAAGTGAAGAAATTTGCAGTTCATCTCAAGAACAGTGAGGAGTAGTTGTTGTTGGGTGTTTTGGGAATCAACGGGGTTCTTTATGCGTGTGTGGTTGTGGTTCTAAAGACAAATGCTCATTTATGATGGCTTTCGGGGTGAATGATTGACTTGCCCCTGCATGTGTTTGTGATGGGTATCACCGATGGGGCAAGATAAGCCCACTTTGCAAATACTTGGTATCACACCTATTTGACAGTGATTCAACTCGTATTTGATAGACACCAGTGTTTGATATTGTCAGAATCATACAATTGTCTCAATAGTAGAGATTTATTATAAATGTGAAAAATTGTTTGAAAAGCTGTGATTGGCCATTATGACATAACCTTTTCAAAGGGTGAGATAGTTCTGGAATTAAGAAGTCATATGGGAAATGCTCAGAAGACTTTTTTGGTATGGAGTTGTAGCATTGGTGGTTATATATGCATAGGTCAGATGTGATAGTTTCCTGCAACTTATTTTCTTTGTAAGAGAAAAGATACTTAATAAGTATCAATAAGGGAATTTTTTGTAAGGGGTTGTAGAATAAGTGATTTTAGATGCACAGGCCAGATGTGATAGTTTCCTGCAACTTATTTTTCTTTGTAAGAAAAAGGATACTTAATGAAAAAGTTGTGTTACAGCTTCTTCAATACAAGAAGAAATGTCAAGAACTTGAAGATTCAGTACGAGAAGCCAATATGATATGCAACGAACATCTGTTAAGGTAATTAATATCCAATGAAATCATGGTAATAATTCTGCCCTTTACAATACAGGTCATTCAGTACAAGAAAAAGAGTGAGGACTCAGAACTGCAATTCCAAGAGCTAAAGGCTCATTATGATAACGTATCAGCGGTAAGCTTGTGTCTGTGTGCTGTGATAGTGCTAGCCCGACAACTGGTTAGGATGAAGACAACCTTCTATCGTCCTCACCTGACATTTCTCACATGTTCATTTTGGCACCTTTGTGAAGTTTCTTGCAAAGTCTTGCATCCTATTTCACACTTCAGGAAAGACTTTGAATACACACTTTGTTACAACAGTGCACAATATTTTCATCTAAAATATGTTTCATCACAGTTTAGAATTCTTTGGCATTCACACTAATATTTGTTCCTTAACATGTCGGACAGTGGAGTTGCAAGACACCCCATCTCTGGTGTCCCCCTCCCAACTCTGATATTGCTACCTTATTGTTGAAAACGACATAAAAGTATACTCACTAACTCACTTGTTTATGTGCACTACCTTGAGCAAAGCTAAATGTTACACATGCAAATCAGACTTGTTAAACGATATAATGAAGTGCTTTCATACTTTCTGCAATAACTCCAACCCTTTAGCTTTGGGGGGTAGCCTAGTGGTTAAGGCGTTCGCTCGTCACGCCGAAGACTCGGGTTCGATTCCCCACATGGGTATAATGTGTGAAGCGCACACTGGTGTCCCCCGCCATGATATTGCTGGAATATTGCTAAAAGCAGCATAAAACCAAACTCACTCACTTTAGCTTTGGAATATGGTCAGAGATATTGCTGATGAAACAAAACATCACTATACCTTCAGTTGTGAAAGGGCTGATGATAATATGAGAAAAAAACAAGTGCTGAATATCAATCAATTACTCCCATAGAGTTACCCTTGTTAGATAAGCAGTATCGCCCAGAAGCATATCCATATTCATCAGTTTGTTACTTCCCATCCATCCATCCATCTGTCCAGCAATCCAACTGGCCATCTGTCCAGCAATCCATCCGTCCATCCATCCATCCATCTGTCCAGCAATCCAACTGGCCATCCATCCATCCTGTCCAGCAATCCATCTGCTCACTATCCTTACACTCATCTTCACCAATGACTCTCTTATTCATATTAGATATGACAGTGTAACGACCAAAGACATTTGTCTTCTTACCCGTCATACTCCATATTTGATTTGTTTCTTATTCATGAACCCTGAACCCTAACGTTTAATCTGCAGTACTGGATCCTGCTGTCATGTAGCTGAGATTCTTTCCAAAGTGGCATTAACCTCTTATCACTCACTCAGTGTTGCAGTAGTGTAAACTGTAGAGCTACAGAAATTCACAACAAGTTTATTCAATAGCTAAGGTTCCCCGCCTTGTCTGTTCTGTCCAGCTTTTGAATTCTGTGTGCCAGAATGTCAGAAAGCTATCATTGTAGATAAAACCATCAGCCCTATCTTTCTCCCATCATTCATCCATATTGTTTCATATATATATTTTATAAGGTTCTAATCATGGTCTTGTTTCTTCAGTTTAGAAGTACATCAATTTTATGGGCCCAAATTTAAGAAAGATAGCACCTTTAATGCAGAAAGAACCTTCAGTCACTTTTTACCCATCCATCATCCTTCATCCAAAGTATGTGTCCATCTAGTTCACAATTCATCCCGAAAGGAGGTTGATCTGTTTGTGTTGTCCCTGACCTTGGTTTGACCCTGACCTTCTGCTAGCAGCTTTCGACACTGGAAAGTGCTGAGACAAGACTGAAGTACTCGGAGGCTGATCACGTGATGGACCTAGAGACGGCCCTCATCAAGCTGGAGGAAGAGCAACAGAGGTCAGTAGTTGCAGCAGTGGTTGTAGTAGAAGTTGCAGAAACAGAAGTAGTTGTAGTAGAAGTCAGGAATTAGAAACAGTAGTGATGATAGTAACAGCAGTGATCATCTTCATCAGTAACAAATACAAGATGAAAGTAACAAGGGGTGTTATATTTTATCTACATGCATTTATTCAAAATCTAAAATTGTCCTCTTTCTTTTGAAATCTTTCATATTGGCTGAAAAAAATTTCTTCAGAATCCTGTCCATCATAAGATTCTTTCAAAGATATTACCCAGTTCAATGTCAACAAGTTATAATGTGCTTTCTGCCTTCTGCCAGGAGCTCCAGTTTGGCCCATGTTAACGGAATGCTGCGAGAACAGCTTGACCAAGCTACCTCGGCCAATCATCAGCTTACGTCGGACATACACAAACTCACCACCGACTGGCAGCGGGCTCGTGAAGAACTGGAGGCAAAGGAATCAGAGTGGAGGGAGGAAGAACATGTGAGTTACCATGACAACAACAATAGTAATCATAATAATAATACAGCAGCATTATGCCAAATCTGCTGTGAGCATATTTATGGTTTTATGATTTATGAAACAGTATTTGCTTGATGCGCTTTACTGTTCTGATACTGGCAGTCTGATACATGACACTGGTACAAAGATCAAATACTGCCATCCCAGTCTGATGCTAAAACAATGACCTTACACTGGCATACTGGTCTCAAACTAACTGTATGGTGTAATACTGTCATTGATATTATGATCAGATACTGCCACCCAAGTCAGATACAGACTCACATCTGATCCACTGGAACTGTGATCTAACGCCAACTCTCTGATCTGAGATCGACTCGTTGGTCTGGAACAACAGACATCTTGGTACTTCTCAATGTCCCTGGTTTTCCAGAAGATGTATGATCATTACAAGGAGTTTAGCCAAATGATCTTGATTCTTGTATATGATCATGTATTTTCATTTTGCAGACCTTCAACGAGTACTTCAGCGCTGAGCATAGCCGACTCCTATCTCTGTGGAGAGCAGTTGTAGCATTCCGTCGTCAGTTCAGTGAGATGAAGACTGCAACCGAAAGAGATCTGGCTCATGTGCGCACAGATGTAACCAAGGCGGCACGCAGCATGCACTCCGCCTGCCTGAACCTCGGTGCCAACATGCGCAGTTCAGACACTCAATCTCAGGTATGTCATTAACTCATATCATGGCCAAGGAAATATTTCCAATTTTTATCTTGATTGCAAAACTTTTGTTTGTAACCTCTTTTGAAATTGATTTAAGTTAACGAAAAACAAAATGAAATTAGATTTATTTGTCATGAGAGCGCATGTTATAATTATCTGTACCTTTTGCCATTGCCCAGGTTTTGGTGGACAGGGAACGCAGCGAGAAGATGGTCATTGAAAATCAACTCCGTGAGGAGATCCGCAAAGTCACCGAGATCCAGACTCGCTTCGACAGCCACAGCACCGACCTGTCCACTCGAGTACAAGAACTGACCATGATGAACGAGCGTCTCAAGATCCAGCTTGACGAGAAGGACAAGACTGTCAACACTCTGCAGAAGACCATTAACCAGCTTGAGGGCAACGCTAGCGAGATCTACGAGAGGGAGGTACCTGAGACCGATACCGCTCGTCAGATCCGCGAAGAAACTGAAGCGCTCCATTACGCTCTCCGCAACATCGCTGAAGCCGTCATCAACGATGCTGACAGAACAATGGAGGACAACATAGATGGAGTCACTTTACCTGAACCTTCAGTCCGATCTTCATCACCACTCAGGGCAAGGTCGATCTCACCAAGGTCAAGGTCACCTGGCATGAAGAGTCGATCCCCAACTCGTTCACCTTCCCCACGAGGGCGATCCCGCTCTCCCGCTTTCGCTGACGCCACCTTCTCAGCCGTCCAGGCTGCTCTCAACAAACGGCAACTCCAGGTATCGGATCTCCGCGCCAAGCTGGGAGCCAGCCGGGATCACACCACCACGCTGAGGAAGTCCCTGGATGATGGGCAGAATGAGAAGAGGCGTCTGGAACTGCAGATCCTCAACCTCAAGGAAGACCTTGATAACGCGTGAGTAATTTAAACAGTGTTATATGCAAGATGCCAGGACCCCATTCCACAATGGGATCTCAGCTTTATGTCCAACGTTAGTCTTATGTTAAATTATGGGAGTTACGATCAAATTAGCGCTACAATCACTTTGTTAAACGCTTCCAGAGTAATTGGGGTGGTGGGGTAGCCTAATGGTTAAAGCGTTGGCTCGTCACGCCGAAGACCCAGGTTCGAATCCCCACATGGGTACAATGTGTGAAGCCCATTTCTGGTGTCCCCAGCCGTGATTTTGCTGGAATATTGCTAAAAGCAGCGTAAAACCAAACTCAGTCAGTCATTTAGTCCAGAGTAATTACATTTGACTAGATTATAACAATCCCTTTCAATGTGTCCTGTTCACATTCATCTAAATTCGATACATAAATTTATAGTCATAAGGTCATGCCTTGTTATGTTCTTAGGACTTAACTGACCAGGAAAATTGTAAGATACAAAATTGGATCTAGCCTTCATTTGACAATCCCTTTGTTCATATCTGTTACAGTCACAGAGATAAGGAAGATTCCTTCCGTGACCGAGACCGTATCAAGAACGCACTGAACGTCACTGGCAGTGAGAAGTCACAGTTAGAGAAGGTGCGACAGGAACTCAACGAAAACATCGAGGGACTCCATCGAGAGATGGAGAAACTGCAGGCCGCTAACTCTGATCTCCAGAGACAGAGGGACAACCTAGAGGACGAAAAAGAGGACATCCTCAAGGACAGGGAGAGGGGACAGAAGGAGAACGAGAGATGGTGAGGATGAGTATTTATATAAACATCAACCTCCCAGTTGAAAAGCTGCAACAGTATTAATTCACATGTATATTGAAAACACAGGCTGACATATATTGTACTTCCGGTAAAAGCCACATGCATACAGTCAAAGTTTGGGGTTTCAATCCCAGACTCTTCATGATCATGACCTATGGTTCGGTAGCTCCACATCACTCACAAAGCTGGCAAGCTGTGATATAAATGAAATACTGTTTAAGTTGCGGTGATTTCATATCTGTGAGAAAGTAGAATGTGAAGATGTGTTATACATTCATAGGACTTGCCTTTATTATGTGGGTTCTTCGCAGAAACATACATTCAGAGTAACACTTTGTGTCTTCAAACTCTCAGCCCCTCAACTTGCAGCCCTTCTATGATTTAAAGATCAGGGCCCTGTTCCACAAACTGATCTTAGCCCTAAGGTGATCATTACTCCCTTACTTTAACACTGACTGGCAGTCGGGTAGCCTAGTGGTTAAAGCATTGGCTCGTCACCCCGAAGACCCGGGTTCGAATCCCCACATGGGTACAATGTGTGAAGCCCATTTCTGGTGTTCCACCCCGTGACGTTGCTGAAATATTGCTAAAAGCGGCGTAAAACCAAACTCAGTCAGTCAGTCAGTATTTAAAGGGTCCTCCTACAGCCTTGCATGTGCGTCAATATTTGATGAGATGGGCCAATCAGGAGCATGCAAGCATTACAGCAGATCCACGCCTACTTTGTCCACCCTTCCGCTTCCTTGTAAAAAAATCAATTGTCTTTTCTGTTAAACTTAAGGATCAATAATAGAATAATTGCTTTGATATGAGGGTATAAATTGTTTAAATGTGGGAGGCCAAGCAGTTTGTATACTTTGTATTAAAAAGAATTACAGTTGTAACTGACAATTGAAAAACAACAGTGTTTAAACTTAAAGGAACAGCTTCATTGTTAAGATGTCCCTGAGATTGCTACATTGTAAAAATGTGTATGCACTGTGATTGAGGGTGATTGTTAGCATTCACTAGTCAGAAGAAAACGAACAAAATATATTCACAGGGACTTACACAGGAAAATACAAAAGTTTTTAAAATGAGATAATTCCATTCTTGAAAACATGAATGGAACTTGGGGGAAGGATAAATATGTCAGAATCTCAGGCTCATACTCAAGACTTAGGCTTTTATCATGGGACATTTAAGCACACGCATTTTGGCAAAGTTTTGGTAGACCTAAAGTCTGAAGTTCTTTTGTTTCACTATTTCAGCCAGAAGATGATCTCCCAGTCAGAGACGAGGCTGTCGTCTCAGCGAGAGGAGCTCGTTGCCACCAAGGAGGCTTTGAACCGAGCCCTCCTCGACAAAGAAGTCCTTGAAGGACAGAGGAATGAAGTTGGTGAGTAGTCCTGTACTGATTGTACAGTGAAATAAACTGTCTTTGTACAGTCGGGAAACAATGTGAACTTTTGACCTTCCCACCTGTAAAACCTGAATTTTATTTTCAATAACGTTAAGATTATGCAATGCTAAGAAATCACTTGTGATACATTCAGCATGATCAGCATTGACTTCTTCTTGTAAGGGAGATAAAACAAACATCAAGTACATTTTGATAATAGGGAAAAGAATAAGAATGCTAAATTAGAATATTGTGGTTGTTTTACACAAGTGTTCTACAAATCAGATCTTACTTGTGAAATAGTCAACATTTTAGGAAGTTTCCTGATGCTAACAAAGATAAATATTGTCTTCCTAGGTGATGCGCTGTCTAAAGCCGAGCTCCAGAAGGCAGAGATTGAAGTTGAGATCAACAAGCTTAAGACAGAGGAAGCTGCACTCCGTGATGCTCTGCTCAAGATGCAGGCTCTCAATGAGGGGCTTGGCCAGGACAAGATAGAACTCAACAAGATTATCATTCAGGTACAAACTCACTCACTCATACAATAAAGACAAACAAACCACTCAAGCAGGTAAATACAAATTCAATCCCACATCACACAATGTAAAGCCCATTTCAACTCCCTGTTATGATGTTGCTGGAATATTGCTAAAAGCGGCGTAAAACCATACTCACTCACCCACTCACTCATACAATAAAGACAAACAGAAACCACTCAAGCAGGTAAATACAAATTCACTCACTCATGCAAGTAAATACAAACCAACTCACTTATACAAACAAATACCTGCCCACTCACTCACTCACTTATACAAGTAAATATAAATCCGCTTGCTCATGCAAATAAATACAACCTCAACATACATGTCACACAGATAAACCAGTTCAAACCCAACTTGCCGACTCAATTACTCACAGCTGAAAAATGAAAAACATACAAAAAATGGATTAGAGCTCTTGTTGTGTTTTAAGATGTCTTTGACATGATTCATTCATGGAAGCTGTAAGACTGTGCCTTCTCTTACAGATGGAGGCTGAAAAGGCTAATCTAGCCAGTGACAAGTCCGCCTTGGAGCAGGAGAAGGCCGGTATCCGCGAGGAGCTGGTCCGTGTTGAACAGGAAAAGATGGATGTCGAAACTGAGAAAATCGGTAAGTCATTCCAGGAAAATTGGCATCATTTATTTAACTAAAGCTCTAATGTTTTCAATTGTGGGTTGATTGTAAATCATAAGTTGAAGGAAAGTGACCAGTTCGAAGATGTGTACTTCTTGATGTTGACGATTGACTTTTGTTGACCATTAGGTCTGAACCAGACACTGGAACTTTCGGAGTTGACTCGACAACAGTTGGAGGAGGAGATCCGCTCCCTGAATGGAGAGAAGGCCAACGTGCAGGCTGAGCTGTCCATGGTGAGAAGCAAATATTGTAAACTCAAATATCAATCGCACACTGTCCACGTCGATAAAAATCAATCATTTAATGGCTTAAGATCAAAGAATGATTATAAACAATTTTGGGGTTTAGTAATACCACCATTGTTAACTGTCTTCCTTACGACACACATCAAGAGGATTTTCTCATGCATCTTTGGGGTGATGGGGTAACTTAGTGGTTAAAGCGGTCACACATGATACCAAAGGAAAATGTTCTCCACGTGGGTACAATGTTGGAAGCCTGTTTCTGGTGTCTCCTTTATAATAGTGCTTGATAATTGCTAAAAATGCCATAAACCCAACTCACTCACTCACTGACTTATGCATCCTTGTTTTCTTGAAGGTTTCTCGTCAGAAGCAAGCTCTGACTGATGAACTGCTTACAGCAAGGAAAGATCTTGAGCGCAACCAGTCAGCATATGACCGTATTGTCAAGGAGAAGGAGATCTTGATGACCGAGAAAGGCGAGCTTGTGGTGCAGGTGACTGCGACCGAGCGGGAGAACCGATCGCAGAGCGAGAGCGTGGCCTCCCTGGCCTCCGAGAAGGACCAGCTTGAGGCAGCACTGTATGAGGCACAGCAGAATGTGCAGATGTTGGAAGTCAGGAAGTCGCAGCTGGAGGGAGAAAACCAGGAACTCATTGTCCGCAAGGAGAACTTACAAGGTCAGGGTCATTGCACATGTGCAGATAACATATCAGAGACACTAGGATGTCTCAAGCGTAAAGGTGTAAAAAGATTACTCTTTGTTTCTTTTGTCCATTATTTTAAGTGTCACAAAGTTGCTCATTGTTCTAAGTGTCACAAAGTTGGTCGTAGTGTCACAAAGTTTTTGTAGTCAGTTACACAGTAGTATGTAAAAGTCAGTAAATAGCTTCTCACTGAATACGAAGTTCGGGTTGAACAATGTTAGTTTCATGAAGATTGAACAATTTGTGTTGTAGCTGAAATCCAGCGACTCGTCAAGGAGAAGGAGGCTGACATCGATCGGGCCGAACACCACCGCGAGGGTCTCACCTCACGCATGCAACAGATGGAGCGTGACCTGCAGATGGCGCTGACACAGGAGAAACAGTCACATGAGGAGGATGTCGAGAGACTCAGTCGAGAAAGGGTATGTGATGCAGCTTTATCCAAAATTATATCACTTCATTTTGAAGTTTTTAATAAAAATATTCCTCCATCTTTTTAAAACTTGGATTGATGGCTTGGTCAGCCACAGAATCACGTGCAATGTATTTAAGTACTTTGAATAATATATTAATAAAGTGATCTTTACCATGATGTATCGATATCAGTAAAGATGTAATCGGTACATTTCAGGATTCGCAAAGGATGCAGTTTGACAACGAGCGGGAACAGCTCCTCCACCATCACAACCTTGAGAAGGAAGACATGTCAGGTCGCTTTGACAGGGCGCGGGAGGAACTTCACGAGAATCTGGCCTCGCTACAGCGTGACCGAGATGATTCTCTCCTCATGGCCGAGAACGACAAGCAACAGGTGAGTTGGTGGCCTGTGATGATAAAACTACTTGTTCTTTGGTTTCTTCTTTCCTGACGTTTTCAATAGATCACTGTTGTAATGTTAAGAAATGACTGCCAGATTTGAAAAGTATCAATATATTAAATTGGACTTTTCCGCTTCAGGCTATGTCCATCTTGGAGCAGGAGAAGAGCACTCTGCAGGAACGGTTCTCCCAGCTTCAGATCGACCTGCACAGCACCAGCACTGAGTACGAGCGACTGAAGCGAGAGTACCAGACCCGCCTTGAGACTGACCGCAGTAGCATCAACAGCCTCCAGTCACAACTAAAGAACTTCCAGCAACAGTTTGAGGAGACCACGTAGGTTGCTTACAGCTTACATCTTTGCTTCGACATGGCCTTTGCAATATACAGGCCAATATTGAATAAATAAGGTTTCTTCATGGCCTCCTGAGGAGCTCCTCCAGTGGGCTCTGGTGTCACAACTCTGTTGTGTCCCTTATGAGTGAGTGAGTGTAGTTTTACGCTGCTTCACACATTGTACCCATGTGGGGAATCGAACCCAGTATTCGATGTGACAAGCGAACGCTTTAACCACCAGACTACCCACCGATTCTCCCTTATGAGTGACTATATTTGGTCAGATCTTGCAGATCTTGTTCTCACTGTGTCATTGCCAGCTTGAGAACCATGTCACATTGGATGAAGCAATGTCTAAGCTCTCGTCAAAATTTTGGTTTTAAGTAAATTCAACATGCCTCAACATTTTGAAACAATTTAGTTGGAAATATATTAATGGGTGTTCTTTTTTTCCAGAGAGGGACATGAACGTGAGGTGAAGGATCTCACTCTACAGATCCGTGAGATTGGCCGTCAGCGCGCGAAGGTGCCCTCCGTGAGGTGGCTGAACTCAAGGTTCAGCTCAAGCTGGTCGAGGAGACACGAGACTCCATCAGACGAGACCTCATCGACGCCAACAGGAAGATCAGAGAAGGTGATTATTTATTTAACAAGATGATTAAGTGCCCAAGAAACACTGTCCAAGTATTGTAAACTAATATTCCCTCCAGACAAAATATAACAGATGGGAATAATTATCAAGAGAAATATTATCAATTTCATATTGCATGGAGATGTTTATAAATATTTGATTTCGATTTATTCTTTTTTTTTTTTTAGCTGAGGAGATGAAGGATCAGCTCCGCAAGGATGTCCTTGACCTTAAGCGTGCTGTGAATGATGAGATCCACGAGAAGGACGCTGTAGGGAAAGCAGCAGATGACCTCCGCAACAAGGTCAAGAAAGCAGAGGCTGATAAGACAGAGCTGAATCGCGGACTGCAAGAGGCTAAACAGAGGATTATTAGTAAGTTTATCTCACAAAATCACGTTTCAAGCGATCTGATTGGTTGAAAATTAGGAAATGAGATACAAAATTTCTGCTCCTGGTCATAGGTTTTTTTGTACATACAAAGGTTGGTGTCTGGTTCAGTGAAAATAAATCATTCTGAAAAGTATTTTTGTTCTATTAGACTGATGTATTGTTGAAAAAAGAAAATTTTACATGCATATTCTTCTCTTTTTCAGTCATGGAGGATCAAAGGGTTGTCACGCAGAAAGAGTCTGGCGACCTCCGCATGAACCTACGGGAGGTCGAGAAGGCTCGTCTTGAGGCTCGTCGTGAGCTGCAGGATCTCCGCCGACAGGTGAAGATGCTCGATAGCGAGCGCAGCAAGCTTGGCAAGGAGGTGTGTGACCTCCAGGTGAGGGTTGCTCGGGATGAAGACAAGGAAGAAGAGTCAAGGAAGGCGTCATTCGACTCAAACAGAAGGTCGTTGAGACCGAGGCCAGCCGTGAGGCTCTCCGCAAGGAACTGGCCAACATGCAGAGAAAGATGGCTGAAATTATTGACGAGGCTCGTCTGAAGGAACGCGACTACCAGCTGTCAGTTGATGACGGCCGTCGGGGAGAACGCAAACTGATCGACCAGTGCAAGAACTATGAGATCTCACTTGAGACCACCAACAATGAGATCTCCGATCTCCGCCTCAAGCTGAGTGGCGCTGACGGCAGGGTTAATGCCCTTGAAGCAACCCTTGCTCGGCTAGAGGGAGCTAAACGTGATGTTGAGTTCAAACTAAGCAGCATCGTGTCGAGTCTACGACGCACTATTGGCTTCCGACAGGACATGCCACGAGCTCGCAGCCCAATCCGTTCTCGCAGCCCTAGTCCAAAACGATCACGACCAACATCTCCATCCAAAGGTAAAACCTACCTCATTGTCACATATTCAACCGATGTATAGATTAATATGCCGCGTCAACAAGAGTAATATACAGTGAAGTTCATCTCAGTGTCTTTACAGTAAGAGATAAACCAACATTTGCGTCCATATTTTAAGTTTTAAAAATCTGTTGAACGGAATATTAAGGACTTTCAACCAAGTTCACACATCGTCACCATACTTGTTTGTGTTTACAATATATGCAACGAATACATATTTACATCTCAACACTCTTTTTCAGGATTTGACAGTACCTATGCTACCACAACTGAAGGTCGTGGCTCCCGATCCCACGAACAGGATCACCAACCCGATCCGGCAGTCCATTCAGGTCCACCAGTCCTCTCCGTAGTCGCAGCATGTCCCCAATGCGACGTGACATAGCCGCAATTGATGTCGACCCTGAAGCTGTCCGTATGGCCCTCCGAGACTTCATGCAGCAACTAGCTTCCGCTGAGCGAGAAAGAGTAAGTATACATTGTACAACATGGTCGCTGACCTTGTTATACAGCCATTTATCGAGATCTTTATTGTGTATGTCCTTATGTAGGAATTCATGTAGTTCTTGGATGCTGGAGCGGTAGGGTAGCCTAGTGGTTAAAGCATTCGCTCATCATTCTGAACACCCAGGTTCTATTCCCCACTTGGTTACAATGTATGAAGCCAATTTTTGGTGTCCCCTGTCGTGATATTGCTGGAATAATGCTAAAAGTGGTGTAAAAACTCACTCACTTGTCCTGGACACTAACTGTCCCTGTACAGGGATTTATATAGACCAGTTGTCAGCCACAAGTTTACTGCAGATGTCTGGTGAACAAATTCCAAATTCGCCATTTCCCAGCGTGTGCTAATAGGGAATCGCTAATGTAGCTTTGTAGATGTGGAAGAGGCTCTCAGTTTATGTTACAGTATGGAGTCCGTATGAAAGGACTTTGTAAAGATATCGCTAAATTAAAACAAATTGTTCCTGTGTCATGTGCCTTGTTTTCTGACAATGAAATTTGATTGGTTGCAGGATGATGCCATGGTGCAAGTGCGCAGCATGGTCACACAGGTCAAGGACACCGAGGAGGAGCGTGATCGCACAGAGATCCGCCTGCAGCAGCTGCAGAAGTCTCTTGGTGAAGTTGAAGAAGGTCAGTACCGTTTTCTTGATAACTTTTACTTTCATTGTGGAGATGTTAGTAGTGTTCTAGTAAAGAGTGAATGGTGGTTTGAACTATAGTCATTATTGGTGAAGATATATCATGGTGGCCTATGAAAATGCATGCACACCAGTGGCAGTGAGGCACATTTTCAGGATACAATAACACATTTTGACCTCAAGATAAGAATAATTCCTCCATCTTTCTCTGGAACATTGATGTCGTAATCCTCAATTTTGGTTACTCTCACTCTGTAAAATCTTCAGCTTTTGCAACAGACATCCTCTTCACTGTCAGCTGTAAAATTAGTAGTTGCATGGAAAGTAGTAGTAACCGATCAAGTTTAGTTGGCTTTTAGGATAGTCCTCAAGGATGCACATAGTTGCTGTAGTAGATCAGATGTGTCTGGCATTAGGGACTCAGGCTTGAAGGAGTTGTCTCCCATTATTCTTCTGCCATCTCGGTATTTATGACTGATGTGTTCAGAACCACCTCATCTGTTATGTACTCCCGGTTTAGAATGGTTTTCAGTCAAAGTTGTGTCCACATTACAGAAGTAGACAATGTGTATGTAAATACACAAGCCTGTTTCCATTGTAGGGCAGGCAGTTGCATATACTGATTTACCCCCTTGGTGCAACTTGCTGCAATATTGCTGATGCACCATAAAGCAGTAATCACTCACTCACACACACACCTCCTCACATTAAATCTCTTAAAATTCCTGTCTTGTTATATTTTCACAGATTCATATCTTTTTTGACTAAACATGCATCAATAAAAAATAGTTTTCAAAATTTCATATAAACTCTTGATTAAGTAAACATGCATCAAACGTTTTCAAAATTTCATGTGAACCTTTAATAAGAACATTGTGTGTTAGTGAAGGATGCACACATATGTAGTGTAGTTTTGCTGCTTTTAGGAATATCCCAACAAATGCCTGCAAGATCACAAAAACCTCATTGTACCAAATTGGGGAATCAAACCCAGCCTTAGCTGTGGCAAATGAACACTTTAACCAGTGTGCTACCAGAACACCCAGTATAATAAAACAACCCTCCCTGGTTCCTTTGATGCATGTATTTCTCTTATCGACACGATCTGACCTCCAGAGCAGTTGATTTCGACTATCGCTTAAGTCGTGTTTTAAGCCAAAGCTGCAATAAAACCATCAATAATGATTTCTGGCACCTGTTATGAAGGACTTGCTAGGATAATAAATAGTGATCGATGATAGCAAGTGAGACCAATCCTGTCCTGAAATTGTCATCTGTTTGAGAGGGTATTAGTAGTATCTTAGGACGAGGTACCATCTGCAGACAACATGCTTTAGTTGTTGGGGTTGATGAAACTCATTCTACCAAAGTGAACAGTAATCTCGACACCACACAACATTCATGAATATATGGGGAAAACAATTCAGTGTTTATGATTTTCACATTATTATTTTTTAAATTTTTAATTAAAATGTAATTTAATTAATTATAAGTAATTAAAAAAATATTTCAGTGAAATTCTTTGGATTATGAAATATTTGAAATTGTAGTAAGGGAAGGTTTGGTGTAGTGAATATGGTACAGATTATATTGTAGATCTTACGATTTTCAAAGGTTTTGTTTGTTTGGGGTTTTTGTTTAAAGCCGCACTCAGCAATATTCCAGGTATATGGCGGTTTTCAAAGGCAGTCACACAGACTTGTATCTCATTCAATTAACTCTGGATCCTATATCTCACAGTATGTCCCTATATAATTCACTGAATCACATGAGTCTCTTTGATGTCCAGCGTTTTGCTGACTTGACATATATTGATGACGAGTCTGTTATTACACGCAGGCTTTGGTATATTTGATCCCTGTAAGATTGAGCATTGAGGCATGCAATAACTAATCAAATAGATCTCAATTCAACACTTGTGAAAGATTCCATTAAGACCTGACCAACGGCAACACAAGGCCGTATTAATTTACAGTTCGTTTGTCGCCATTATTTGACTAGGATTACCGGTAGTTCTTCAGTGGTGAGATTACCACAACAGTATATTATATCATCCATGCTGAATAGACTTGGAAGAAAGACATACTGATTGTCAAAAGGTTTATAATTGAATTCTGTACTCCACGCAATAGGCATTGAATAAGTTTGGACAAATCAACACAGGCAAGGTTTTCCAGTATTGGATGTTTGCTTGGATTGCACTAGCTCCTTATGTCAACACTTCACTTTTCTGTATTCCCCAGTACCTGCCTGAAGGTCAGTGCAGGCTTAACACAATCAATATTTATCGGAGAAGACCGCTCCCCCCACGATCTAGACTAGTATGGACATGTTTGAAAGGTTATAAGACCTCATTGTGAGTGAGATATGCCCTGACTTATGGACCCACTAAGGTCTGTCACCAACACCAACTTAAGAATCTAGTTGCCGGTGAAAGATCACAGGAGATCTGTGGAAATAATTTACAGTTGTGACTAGTTGTAGGTAACTATTACTGATCCTGAAGCGGCCATTTTGTGACACTTACAAACTGGAGGCAGTGATTTTGTGAACATGTTGTGAGGATATTAAAATGCAGGTGTTTAATCCTGCATATTTTGGCAGCAATGAATCAGGATTCGGTGCAATAATGGAACGTTGAAAAGGAATGTTGCAATACTAGCCTTTCACTGCCACGCCACTGTAAGGAGCTTTGTGACTATGTATCGTATATACCAACTACCATCCTATTACCTAACACTGCCAGGATTTCTATCCACGCCCCAAAAACGGTCACAAGACACAGAATGTATTTCTGAAGGATCGTCATTATCTGTTTTATCAGAACTTCCGTGTAACGATGGTTTGTACAGTTGTTGATTGAATTTTGACTGTTCTCTTTTGCAAAATCATTGCAATTTATATTTTATGTGACCTGACATTAATATTATATCCATAATGCATGGTTCATATTTCTATAGTTACATTACTGTTATTGTGTTGTTTTCAAAAATATTGTGATGAACATTAAAAATTAATTGTTAGTTATTTTTTATCAATTTTTGTAAATAACATGATAGGTTTATCTGTAAGTCAGTATTGCATTCCCTAGGGTAAACACATTTAAAATTAATACTACCTTCCTGACAGTGTGGTATAACTCATGTGTCTGAGCAAAGTAATAACTATTTCATTTATTCATTGCTGATTATTATAGGATAAGTATCATATGTTCCTGATTCAATGATGTCTGTTCTTCCACTATTTTATCATACTTTTGTACTTTTTATTTCTTCTAGGTAAAATAATGATATTTCTTAAACAATATAATTCATTAATGCCTGGAACTATCTTATGAGGAACAGGAGCAAGATCTTGGTTTTTATGTATTTAACTTTCTTTAGTTCATGTTCAGTTAGTTATATTCAAAAACAGTTACAATAGAGACAAGGAAGTGTATAGAAATATCCTCTATAGACGCCATGGTTTATGTAACAGGTGATTCATTAGAGAGGTCGTTAAGGATATTATAGTATTGTTACCTGTCTATCTTATTGTGTATCTGCACAATAACAGGCATGGAATATTGTCTCAGGTGCGACATTCCCAGCATGCTTTTGTCCTGTAATCAATACACTCTTGTTTCACTGCATACGACCAGGATGAATAAATAATTACTCATGTTTCAAGTTACGCTCACATTCTCCGGGTGGGCGTTCTTGGTGGAAAATGAGTACTTAGCATCGTTATGGTTGTAGGTGAAGGACACATGTCCTTGGTAATTCATGCAGTAGTAAATTACTAATGTGATCAGTTTAGGTGATGCTAAAATATTTTATAATAGTCTATGTAATATATCTTGACAGATGGTTAAAACATTTTATATTCCATGTAATATATATCTCCATAGATGATAACATTTTATGATATTCTATATCATATATATCTACTCAGATTATAAAAACATTTATATGATATTCTATGTAATATATATCTCCATAGATGATAACATTTTATGATATTCTATATCATATATATCTACTCAGATTATAAAAACATTTATATGATATTCTATGTAATATATATCTTCATAGATTACTGTTAGGTTCCAGTTGTAATAAAATTAATTCCTAATGTGAATGTCTACAAATATAGTGTGTTGAAATGAAAGATCAAAAATTGGAATTGTAAGGGTGACTAAGTATGTATTTATTCATATCTACCTTCCAAAGATGCTATAGAATTTTATAATCCTGCAAGTGAAAGAGGATTTGAATGGTAGCTGCTGATAATTATAATAAATCTACAGGGAACGGTTAACTCAAACATAAATTCACAGAACAGCCTGGGGGCAGCATAAATATGTATATTGCTTTTCTCCTCTCTAAGCGTTATGGCACAATATTGTCAGGTCACAGGGTCAGCTTAATTTGCATAACAACATATTAACATTGTACATTGAATGGGTAATGGTGTGATCTTGGGTTCATTTTGTTGTCATTGTCAATAGTCGTGTTGGTCCAGTACACTTCATTGTGTCTGCTTGTCATGGCCATTATGACCCTTTGACCAGTTTCAGGTTCCGAATAATTGGCAGATCAAGCAACAGGGTTGAGAGAGTAAATTCAAGATAGTTGGCTGCCCCTGATCAAATTTTGTTGATGTAACTCTTTCATGTCCCTTCCCTTTTTGAGATAATATAAACCTTTAATACTTTGCATGGGGTTACTTGTAAAATTGCTGATAAAGCATAAAATAATTTTACTTACTCACCTGTGTTGGAAATATTTTCAAAATCAGACACTATATTACTTTGACAAATATTATTTAATTATAAATTAAATACTGAGGGAGTTCTAAGATTTATGTCATGTTTGCTCAATATGCCATAATTTCTGTATGGAATTCTAATGAGGAACATTTTCTTTACTGTTTTGTAGGGCATTGAACTTAAAAGCCTTGTACTTTATGTTGTATCGCTTTCGGATCTTGGGATATTTTTCGGACTATATTGTTCACATGAGGCTGTTTCTTGTACGAGAAGATAAAGAGTGATTAATATGAACCAGGATCCAGAAACTACAACAACTTATCAGCTTCACATTTATTTCAATCTCTTAGATTTGTGGGCACCATTAATGCAAGATAAGCTGTACTGGTGTTCCATGGATTTAGTTAAGCCCCTTGTCATTGGTTCATTTGAATGCTGATTAAAATATATTGGTATTCAGTGTTGGATAAATCAGTTGAAATAACAGATTGTTAATGTTGTATGGAAAATAGCATGTGTTAATTTGGAGTTACTATTAAACACACCTGAAACAATAGATTGCAAAAGTTGTGTTGAAAATGGCATCTGAAAACTGAACTTAAACACCACTGAAACTGAAATATGTGGTAGAATTTGTTTGGAAAATAGCATTTGTTATTTAGTTGCTCAAATAAATACAAATACATTTAGTTACATTGTGAGATACATCAGATATAATGTAATAGTTAATATAATAAACAGACAAAAATGATAATTTAATGATAATTTGAATTTTTTATTACCATTCATTGAAACTTAAAACATTTGGAGTTTTGATGCAAAGGGTTAGATTTTCATTTTATGGAAAGAATTTGAAAATTTTGTTTCTTTGAAATAATCCAGTTATATTGTGAACGTGTCCTGATTACAGACAAGCTCGGAATTGATGGCCGTCTCGCCAGCGCCCAAACAGCTCTCATGCTGCAAGAAGAGACTATCCGCCGCAACGAGCGGGAGAGGAAGACAATGGCCGACAAGGTCAGCGCTCTTGAGAGGAATGTGGCTGCCACCGAGTCCGAAAAGAGACAACTGCAGGTTGGTAAAAACATCTAATTTCTCCCAGAACTGTGTTCCAGCTGACTGATAAATTCTGATATATTAATCAGAGATTTAAATATTAATTTAATCACTTTCTACCTGACAAAGGAGTTTTGTTCTTAATGTTTAGTTCATTGACCTATTACAGAAATAAATAGCTATTGACATTGAACCCATGTGTTACTGGTATCATGAGAATTTGAGGCTTGAGATTTGATGAAACATGTACTTGTCCTTTCAGGAGAAGATCGCCAAACTGAAACAGTCCGAGTCGAAGTTGGAGGAGGATAAGAAGACGATGAGATCCTGCTTGGATGATGCTGAGAACAGGTGTACGAAGTTGGAGCTGACGCGTCGGTCCATGGAGGGTGAAATGCAGAGGTTGAAACTGTCCATGAATGACAAGGAGACCGAGAACCAGGTAAATACGATAAATACGCACACTGATTGATAATTACGACAAATACACCCAATGACAGGTAATTTCGACAAATACTCACACTGATTGATAAACACATCAAATATGCCCAGTGATTGATGAATACATGATTGATGAATAGGTAAATATGGCAAATAAGACCTCTGATAGGTAAATATGAAAAATATGGCTACAGAGTGGTTTGGTCTTTTATTTATTAGAAACTGATACTTATTTTTGAAAGTATAAACAAATTTGAAGAGCTGCAGAGATTTATTGTTTTATATTTTAATTTTGATCTATTATTATTTGATGTGAATTTTGAAATTATTAACAGCTGACCTTGTAGTCTCCTGGTATATATTTCCATTGTAGCGCCTGTCTGAATTATGTGCATTGCCCAAGCTGTGATCTTTGAAATCAATTATTGCCTCTCACTGCTAAAATGACCCAGTTAATCCCAGTTAATCAAAAGCATTGTTGAGGTTTTATAAATATTACATGAGAATTGCCCTGGCCGCTAATTAACTGCTGCAGTCTGATCTCACAGGACTCAGACTGAAGCAGATGTTGTAACAGATCAGATCATGCTGTCTGTGTATGCAAGAGGTTTTCTTGGCTATCTGTGAGGGTTAGACATTTTGTTTCTGGCATGGATCATCGTTCAGAAAAGAGTAGCAAATCTCCCAAGTCAATGGACTTGCTTCTTAAGCATGTGAAGTCAAACTGTTTCAAGCTGGTAGCTGTAGGAATTCAGAACAAGCCGATGAAGGTGTGTGTGGCTTTGTGCCAACGTGTGAGTGCAGACAAACCTGGGCTGCGTTCAAACTAATCTTAGCGCTTACGTGACTTAAACTTCCATGCTTTAACACAGGCTTATGATGATTGTAACGCTAATGTCACTTTGTTCAGACGGCGCTGTCCGTCTTTTCTTGGATTTTGTTCTGTATCTCCAAATATGGACAATAGTTTCAGGAATATCATTCAACTTCAGGTAGTGGTATCTGTAGACTGTGTAACCATGATTAATCCAGCCTTTGTGTTTCCAGTTTTAACACTGTTTTACTCCATCTTACAGGTCCTCCAAGATCGTGTTGAGAGTCTCAACAAGCAGATCCAGGACCTCGAGACCAAGTCCCAGTCCCTCCAACTGACCGTCGACCGCATGAACATGTCCTTGGCCAAGACGGAAGAGGAAGGTCACCACCACAAGGACAAAGTCCAGTCCCTGAACATGTCGCTGTCGGACAGTAACGCCGCCATCAGCGAGTTGGAGGAGCGTGTGGCGCAGCTCCAGCGTACTCTCACCAGCAGCGAGCAGGACCGACGGGTGCTGCAGGAGAGACTTGATGCCACCAGGCAGAGTCTGAACGATGCCAAGAAGCAGAACCACATCTTGATGGAGAGAATGCAAGCTCTGCAGTCCGAGCTTGAGGACAACGAGGTCCGCAGGTCCGAGGTGGAGGGACAACTCCGACAGAGCCATGGTGTAAGTGTCATAATGATATTTCCCTAACAGAAATAATAACAATCTAAGGATATCAGCTGTAACATGAAATGAAAATAACTTGGTAACAATGACATTTAAAAAGGAAACAACATCTCTGATGATACTCAGACTTGAGTATTTACAGTCCACTGTCATTTTGCTGGAATATTGCTGAGTGTGGCATTAAACAACACACAAACAAAAACAAAATCAAAGGACATAGATTATTGTGAAAGTGTATTGTCTTATATCTGTTTAATTGCTGAAAGATGACAAAAACCAGAATGAAATCAAATTACCCAGAATCCCACTTTGTGTTTCCAGATGATCGTACAGAGGCAGGAGAGCGAACAGGAACTGAATCAGCGAGTCAACAAACTAGCGATCGAGAGACAGAGCCTGTCCGAGCGGGTTGCATCTCTGTCCAGAACCATTGCCAATATGGAGTCCGAGCAGCGTGAGGTGGAGAGATCGGCTGTCAGGCTGGAAAAAGACAAGTCAGCCCTGAAGAAGACTCTTGATAAGGTGATTAATGCATTCTTTGAAACAAAATATTCCATGGTCAATGTACAAAGATGGGTGCTAAGTAGTCTTATAAAAAGTCGTGGATTGTAGCTAAAGTTTCATTATTTCTTTGATTGTTGTGGGTGGTGGGGTAGCATATGGTTAAAGCCTTGGCTGCGTCACGCCCGAGACCTGGGTTCGATGGATTGTTGCTGTAATATTGCTAAAAACTCAGTTTCAGTCTTTGATTGTTGTGTAACACCTCACTCAGCAGTGTTCAAACTTTATGGCGGTAGTCTGTAAATAATCAAGTCTGGACCAGACAATCCAGTGATTGACATCATCATCACTGGCAACTGGGATACGATGACATGTATCAACCAAGTAGGCAAAGCCTGACCAACTGATCCCATTAAACTCCTCTTACGTAAAACATGGGTTGTTTGAAACCAATTCGAATGCTCATCTCTATGGGGGTAGTCTGTCTCACAGTCCCTGAACCACATTATTTTCCCTACTGCCAAGCCCTCTCTGCAGTGCTAAAGCTCTAAATAAAGCAAGTCTAGATTTCCTCAGGTTCTGAATCTCTGGTCTCCCTGGGGCTAAATGGGCTTGTTTGTTACTATCAAAATTATATATATTCAGAGACTAAGCATTAGTCTACTATGGGGGCTGTCCATTAGACCTAAGGAAAGGTAACTGGATTAAGATGTGTATGAGAAAATATAACAACCAATGTATTAATACCTTTGCAGGTGGAGAGAGAGAAGCTTCGCAGTGAAGAAATCTGCTCCAAGACTGTTCACGAACGCAGCAGCCTAGATCGCGGTCTCCAGCAGCTGGAAGTAGACAACGTTGAGTTGCAACGTCAGGTGCAACAAATGCAGGCTCAGTTGGCTGAGGCAGAACAGCAACACGCACAAAGGTAGGGGAGATAACTCACTCTGACTCAGGCTAGAGGGGGCTCCTTTAGGCATAGCTTCACTCTTGGTCATTTGGTTGAATGGAAACTCTGAGAATAACAACCAAATTCATGTTATTATCTGACTTTGTGGAGATTACTTATATTTTACAGAAAAATTAATTTGAGCAAAATATAAATTTTCTCTCAAAATGGGACCCAATGATTTTTAGTTTGGAGTGCTGGATAAACCCCTAATACGAGCTACATGATGCAACAATATGTCAAAATATTTTAGTTCAGCAGGTTTTACAGAGAAAATGTTTTTCGATTTGTGGACACGACAGTGAACTGACTGCCTGAAATGCTTAGCCTTGATGCAAAGTCTTTGAATGCTTCTGTCTGTCATTTAATGTATTGCCAAAGCATTTTTATGCAAAACCATATAGGTGCCACTTTGAATCTGCAATGCAAATCTTAAATAATAATTCTTTAAATGGCAGTTGCTTTATTTCATCTAATCTCATCTTCTTCTATCCCATTAACATAGCCAGTGCGAACTTAACAGAGACCATTTAGCAAGGTATCATCAGCATTGCATGAACGGAATGCAGATCACGTGATCACACCTGTGTCTAAATGTGTTTTTATTGATAGTGTCATTTTCCCAACTTTTTGTGGGAAAATGTTGTGAATTATAAAGATAGGGAATAACTGCACTTATAACTGCATGACCAGGATGTAGTGTATGACCAGGATGTAGTGTATGACCAGGATGTAGTGTATGACCAGGATGTAGTGTATGAGCATAACTATGAAGAGAGCATACATACAGCATGTCAGCACAGATTTATTTAGTGCTATGATCATGATGTGAACACAAGATGCATAATCATCATCACAAGCATGACAAACTCGGTAAATTTTATTTCACAGTTTGTGCCAAGCATGATTTCACATGATATTTTTCGGTTTTCGTATTGTGGAAAAGTTTCATGTGCATTGTAAATATTATTAACCATCATTAATCCAAAATATATTTCAGTATTGTTGTAATTATTTAGGAGGAAAAATGAAAAACAACTTTTAAATGGTCAATGATTAAACTGATGATAATAGCTGGTGAAGACTGCATTGAAAGTGGCTGATCCAATGGGCTTTAGGTTCACTTGAGTAAAGAACTCAAATGATGACACAATCTATTCTATATGTGCCTGTGATTGGTTCCTTACTGATCAATATACTGTCTAGAGATGAACCAGCAAATTCACCTTATATATATACCTAACTTATATAACTAATATACCCTAGTTTTGAGCCTGACCCATGCTGGAAGACCATCAGTCAATATACACTTCTTAGCTTTGAGATAACACATCTTTTTAATTGGGACTGACCAATGCTAGGCATCAGTCTATATATACTGCCCAGCTATGAGATAATGTGTCTTGACCATGTGGTTGTCTGCTTCAGGCTGATTGACTTGACCACCAGGCACCGTGCTGAGACTGAGATGGAAACCGAGCGTCTCCGTAGCGCCCATCTCCAGGCAGAACGTCTCCTGGAAGCCAGGGAGAGGTCACACAGGCAGAAATACAAGGGACTTGAGGAAACAGTGAGTTAAAATTAAATTTCAACTTAAACTTGAATTTTAATTAAAACCTATAGATATCTGCGAATAACAGTTTTCAAGATTAGTGAGTGAACAAAGATGTAATCTCTCAAGAAAGTCGATGAGGGTGTCCATTATTCTTGGTTCTCAGCCTTATGAACACAAATGACAATATTCAACCGGTGTATAAAATCCATATTTTTCTACCACCAGGTGGCTACACTGAAAGACCAACTGTCCCAAGAGATCAAGAAGCGTCAGCAGTACATCGCTCGCAGCGTTCGAACCGGCGATGAGATCCGCGACATCCGCACCATCCTTGACAACTCCCTGTGCAACGTCGCCCGTGACTCCAGCCTCGACCCCATCCTCCTGGAACATGAGTCTCGCAAGCTGGACGAATCCTTGGAGATTCACTCCTCATACCCCGTGCGCCTTCCCCGACATCGGTCACCTGTCCGAGGCTCCTCCCCTGTCAGGCTGAGTGGCATGCAAGCATTCCGTAGAAGTGGACGTAGTCCAGTCTCACTCCGACAGAAGATGAAGCAGTAACATCTGACATCAACAAATGAAATTTGACTGTGATATTTTAGCAATGCTGTCTCATATTCATGACTGGTCAGATAACAAAATCAAAGGATTAACTCTTCAGTGTGAAGAAATACTTGAAATATATTTGGGAAAATGTATGATTTCGACCAGTCTGAATTCCTGCAGGAAGCAAGGATGCTTTTCTAACAACTTTCCTGTCTATGCAATGTGTGAAATGTATCATTAGGTCAACAGCTGCCACCATTGCTGGTATTGTCATCATGTGAGAGAGTATATCGTTTCCGTCCATATCGAAAATCTAGTTTTATACACAGAATGTAATGACGAGTGACGTGCTGTGAAAAACTTGTTTCTCGTCTTCATTTCATTTTTTTACAACTGTTTTCTTTTTCTTTTATCTCGCATAACTTGTTGCCCAATATTTTAACTTTGTTTGCAATCTTTTCTCTGTATTTGACTTTTTGTCTTTTTCTCTGTATCCGGATCACGCCAACAAGGGAGGTAACTCCTGTTTGACAGCATTGTCAGCTATTGTTTTGTTGTAGTTGTGTAACAGTATTACATTTTACACTGGTATTTTCTGCTGTATAATTCTCCTAATACAGGCTGTGATATATTTATTTAATGAACATATTTGATAATTTATGTATTGTTTTCAGTTATATTAGAGATATATTTAATCCCGCACAGAGTTTGATCCTTGCACTAGTTTTGCACAATGGTTTTGTAGACATTTGTCAGTGATAATTTATGTGTAAATTAAGAATGAAATCATTCTACCCCCTACGAAATAGTCCTTATATGAAATCACTGAAATGGTTGCATGTCAATAGTATATAGACTGTGTTATGTAGTTGTTTGTTACCGTGACGACCGAAAGTCTATGAATGTTAAAGATCAATCTGTGTTAGATACATTGTTGAGGTTTGACGTATGAATATGTACTTGTATGTAGACTGAACCGGTCTGGTGTAGATCTAGTTCTAACAGTTTGAGGACCAATCATTTTTTCATTGGATCACTTTTTCATATATGAATAAAGTGTGTTTTAACTCAAAATATCTCTTGTTTGCCTTCTACAATATGAGTACTACTCACTCAATTGGATCAACAGTTAATCAGGGGGAAGTTCTAGCCCCAAACAGGATTACAGTGACCAAGTTTGGGTCTGCTAAGGTGGCACTTGAGTTGGTTGTAACAGAGTTGTTCCCCATTCAGCTGCCAGGATCTGCTGAACAATTTTCCCTTGACATGACAATACCAGTTTCTGGGTTCCACACTGTTTCTCTTTGGAATTCTAACACAAACATGCATGCACACACACAGACAGTGAGAGACATGCACGCACGCACGCACACACTCACTCGCTCATCTTCCTGAGACAAGGGAGTTGTACTGACTAAAGCCCAGTTTCCACCCTTGCCAAACATGGCTGCAATTTCTGAGTTATATTCTGGCAGGCCAAAGAAGTCTATACATTACCTACCTGAAACAGAATTCTCACCTGGTCACTGAACATAGTGACTGCCATGCACTTCTCATTCTGCAAAGTCTTAGTTGAATGGCACTGGGTGAAAGTGAACTATTCTTCTGTTAACTTGGTAATATTGTCAAGATGTTGCCATTTTTAAAGCAAGTGCAAGAAATGGGGTGTGAATGTGAAGCTTTTCTTCAATTTAAGGGTAACTTGATAAGATTATCTTGAATGGGTGCTGACCTTTTTCTTTTTTTTTGAAGTAAATGCAAGTGACATGACCGGTGGAATCTGATTGATCAATAAGAGGGTCATTTAAGGGACATAACTCCGGGACATCCTTTTCAAATGCCACTGGTGAAATCTTGTAAGTCCAGCCAAGTTTGGCAAGGGTGGAAAGTAGATTTGTTTAGTGGGTTAATTCCCCATGCCTCAGGAATATACCCAGATCAACAGTTGATCAAAACCCACTGTTGATCACAAGTAATGAGTATCTTTGCAACTGGGATTCAATGACGTGTGTCAATCAAGTCAGCAAGCCGACCACCCAAGCCCGTTGACCGCCTCCGTGGGGTAGTGGTTAGAGCGTCCGCCCGGAGAGCGGAAGGTCGCGGATTCAATCCCCATCCGCGTCATACCAAAAGACGTTATAATATGGTACTTGTTGGTCCCTGCCTTGCGCTCGGCATTAATGGGTACAACAAGTACTGGTCGGCTCGGAGTCAGTATAATGGGTCTGAGTGGGGTATTTCTGCTTCACTGCGGCATGGTATCTCAGTGGGCTAGCACTATAAAACCAGCTTAAGTCTGGGCTAGTACAAGCAGCCGCACATACACATACACATGCATGCACGTCCTCATATGAGCGAAATATTCTCAAGCACGACGTTAAACCCAATTCCACCACCACCACCCAAGCCCGTCAGTCGTCTCTCGTGACAAGCATGGGTTGCTGAAGACCAGTTGTAACCCAAGCCTCTGGTGGCACTACAATCAATCCAGCCTAGTTTGGCGAGGATGGAAACTCGATTTTTATGGTCATTTACCCAACACCCCTGCTTCATATACCAACATGAAGCTTTGATCAAGACTTGCTGTTGATCAAGTAGTACTATCCACACTTGACTTGTTCTCAAAAGTTTTGCATTACATCTTCAGGACAGGTCTTCAAACTAGTGGTCGATAGCATCAGCAACAATAAATGAAGTCTGGACTTGACATCCCACTGTTAGCAAGGTCATGCTATGTAACATATAGCATTCCCTCTGAAGTTATTTCCTACACAAATGATTCAACATTTCAGCATGATATTGAAGTTGTGGTTGGTTGGTTGGTTGTTTAACGCTGCACTCAGCGATATCCCAGCTATATGGCGGCGGTCTGTATTTAATCGAGTCGGAACCAGACAATCCAGTGATCAACAGCATGAGCATCGACAGTGTATGAAATAAGCCAAACACCCAGCCAGACATCTGTGATATTGATGGAATATTGCTAAAAGCGACATTAAACCATATTTTTCAAAACCATACATCCTATCAAATGAGTGAGTATGGGTTTTTTTTGTCATCTTTAGCAATATTCAAGCAATATCATGGACACCAGAACGGGGCTTCACACATTGTACCCATAATCGGAATGGAACCGGGATCTTCAGCATACAAACTTGAATTGAGATTTACTTTATGTCACCAAACAGTGCAGTCATGTGGAGAAATTTGTTTATGCAGCTGCATTATATCCACTCACTCACTTCCTTTCACATCCGACCGCCTCCTTGGTTAGAGCGTCCGCCCGGATTGCGGAAGGTCGCGGGTTCGATCCCCGACTGCGTCATACCAAAAAGATGTTAAAATATGGTACTTGTTGGTCCCTGCCTGGCGCTCGGCATTTATGGGTACAACAAGGACTGATCGGCTCGAAGTCAGTATAATGTGTCTGAGTGGGGTATTCATGCTTCACTGCGGCATGGTATCTCAGTGGGCTAGCGCTATAAAACCAGCTTCAGTCTGGGCTAGTACAAGCAGCCGCACATACACATACATACGCATGCATGTCGTCATATGAGCGAACTATTCTCAAGCACGACGTTAAACCCAATTCCACCACCACCTTTCACATCCTATTTTATTAGGATTTTTTATTGGGTACATTAGGTGCAATAATTTTCTCACTGAACATTGTTTTACCTTCTTGACAACTGGCCCACAAAAGGGTTCATTGCTGTGTTTTTAGTTGTGCTATCTGGGAAGCGACTATTAGAAACATGGAGAAATGGCTGGCTGGCTGAGTATGGTTTTACGCCGTTTTTAGCAATATTCCAGCAATATCACGGCGGGGGACACCAGAAATGGGCTTCACAAGTTATACCCATGTGGGGAATCGAACCCGGGCCTTCGGCGTGACGAGCGAACGCTTTAACCACTAAGCTACCCCACCGCCCCTGGAGAAATGGTTATGGTTTATGCTGCATTAATGGAAAGACAAGGATCAATTATTTGCAAGTCGCCATCATACATGTATTCAGTATGTGGCCATAAGTGAGTCATCATTAGTGAAATTTCCATAGACGTACATGTTAATGAACTGTTGCAAGAATAGTTTTCATAAATTGAATAGAAGTCATTTAATTTCGACATCTTGGAAATCATCTTCAGCTACGTGTACATAATTTTCTTTCATCTTTCTGTTGTTTAATTATCGAATGACACCTGATTAAGCACCATCAGTACAACTTAGTTTTAATCTATCCCATAGAGAGCCAGGTTAAACCTGATTGGTATGTCTAATATGTGTTGTTTAAATAGTTGCAGTTATCTTAATAATCATCGGAACATTGAATGGAAATTATGTATATGTAGCTGAGATGATTTCCAAGCTGGCAGAAAAGTATTGAAAGCAATTCGACCGAAACTAAATTTATGAAAATTATTCTTGCAAGAGTTAATTAACATGCAAGTCTATGGGAATTTCACTAATGATGACTCGTGGCCAAATACTGTAGCTTTAATGTTGCTCTGTATGTCACACAAATATATTGTCCGATCACAGGTTTTAGGACCATAATGCTCACTCAGGCTGTAATGAGGGGTGTTGTGCCACACAATTATGGAAAATTCTTGTGTGTATGGATAAAGCTGTCTTTTATGAGTTAGTGACATGATTTACAATTGTTCATGTGATAATCGAGGCAACAAAGGATGTTCTTAAGTGTCCAAAAACTCATAACATGATATAATTTGAAGATGATGTCATCCATGATGTCACAGGTGAACAATCCTGACAAAACACTGTGGGTGACATACAGAATAACAAACTATAAACAGCATGGAAGTACACACAAGTTAGTCCCTGTGAATAATTTTAAAAATATAACTAGATTACCCCCTACAAATGAATTCTTATCAGATAAATATGTACTTTTATTACCTACGAGGGCGAAAATATCGGGGTTAATATTTTTCATACGATGCCCTAGGGCAAAATATCACTTTGTCATGAACAATGCTATGACGCCACGTTTCATCTATGACGTTGCGTCCTACATGCGGCGAAGGCGGGTAGCCTGCCTATGTTTGACAGTAGATTTTGGTTTATATACCTCAATTTGACGACATTGGTAATGAAACAGAATATTATATTCGTGCCCATATCATACTATGTTTACGACACTCGTGCCTAAATATCGGTATATCCCTCGCTCTCGATCGGGAAATACCAAAATGTAGGCACTCGTGTCGTAAACATAGTATGACATGGGCACGAACACAATATGATGAATCAATGTCCTCTATCTAGTTCAGTTTTTCATCTGGCGACAAATGTATTAGTCCTTTATGCATTTTCAAAACCATGTCTGCGTACATACTGCATTTATCATCGTGTGTCTTGATTATCATATGAACAATTGTAAAACATGTCACTAACTTATTAAAAACAACTTTGTCTCAAACATAAGCCATCATCCGAGTATTTACAATGTCTGTGTGACAACCCGGCGAATAGGGTAAGTGAAGACTGCCGATCAAAAACGCAACGTCCGTCAATAGTTTCTTTTGAGAAAATAGAATTGATCTTGACAGATTTATGTGGCCTAAAATACTTTAAAAGGGAAACGATAAATATTACTAGAGCGATATGTAAGGATGGAACATAAAAAAGGCATGTCAGATTGATGTCAACTTCTGAACTAAATCAGGTTTTGAAAACCCCGCCTTTTAGAGACAATAGCAAGGGGAATCCCAATGCTGATAGCGAGCCAATCAAATTTTAGCGTACGTCACTTCCGGTAATGTCAACCCCCTTTACAAGCATGGCAAGCACGAAAAGGTAAGACATTTATAGCTATTATTACCTTATTTGTGAACATTTATGAAGATTCATTTCTTTCTCACTTACCGTTTCCTGGCTTACATGATCGATCTCGGCGAAAATAATTAGGCTATCCATTACAACTTGCCGTGTTGTAGTATTTTCTTGATGTGGCTGGCGATGTCAACATTCACCACGTGCGCTATGTTTCAGGAAATTGGCAGATTTGAGTGTGGATGAATTCATGTCTGGTGACTTTGACAGCGATGACTCGTCGTCGTCAGAGCGCGCACCTGTTCCTGAGGTTAAAGGAAAGAAAAACAAGAAGAAGAAGAAAGGGAAAACCTCAACGTAAGTTGTGCGAGTAATTGAATACAGAGCGAAACCTAAAGGCGTTGGTCTGCCAGTATGTATATGTCACTTGTCATCATGTACGATAATGCCATTTTAAGATGATATATGATATTCCCACAGTGATACTTTAACGTTAACGTTCAGTGTATTTTTGTCTGAACATTTATTTTTTGCTTCAAATTCAAATGAAGACACAGTGAATGAAATCAACCTTGTTTACGTTATTTTACAATGGATGTTCTGCTTGATTATTTTACCTTAAACCTCCTTTAACCCTGTTTTATCCAGACATCTTCAGTGATTTATCCAGACATCTTCAGGAAAACAGCATAATTGGAATTGATAATGATTATTTTAAGACCATTTAAATTGTACTGATTTCCACACCACATCCATGATGATGTTAGCCTTAGCCAGTCCAACCTAACTAAGTCAAAGTCAAGTCAAAAGAGTTTTTTGTATTTAAGGCCACCTGCCCACATACAAATATACATTTGTAAATAATAGACAATATACAAATAATATACAATACACATAATGGAGAGAACAAAATGACAGGTAATTGTAAAATTTCGTTTTAGGTTTTAAATTGTTTAACAGTCTAACTTATCATGATTGTAGAATATATCACACCCCTTCAGCTTTACAGCTGAGCAAAATATTTGTGAATAATTTTGTTAAAATGGCTATATTTATAGTGAATGAGTCATTATAGAAACTAAACAGATATTTTGATTACAGAGAAAATACTGCCAGTGTTAAGAAACAGGAGAAACTCCCAAAGAAGAGCATGAAAGTTTCAGTTCCAAAAGGTGACACACCAAAATCAGGAAAATCCAAACAAAGTCTGGCGGAGAAGCTCAAGGAAGCAGATCCAGAGTTTTATAAGTTCCTTGAAAGTGAGGACAAAAAATTGCTGGAGTTCGATGAGGATGTTGATGATGAGGAGGATGACGAAGATTCAGAGGATATGGGTGATGATAGTGAAGAGGATGAGGATGGGAAAGACCTGGAGGATGCACTTCTCGCGCAGTCGAGCGGCGAAAGTTCTGACGATGACAGTGAAGGAGGAGGAAAGTTTCACAAACTTCCAGACAAACTTGAGGTAGGATGTTTTGGTTGATTTCATTAATTTACAATTGACAAATGGTGGACTGATGGCTTTGTTTTCATCTTCAAGGATCTTGGAATGGTATTTTGTTAGCTTCTTTATTCTGTGAAAGGCAACGTTTCGACATAGATTCTAATGTTGTCAAGCAACTTAAGCCTTTCACAGAATAAATATGTTGTATATCCATAAAATTATCATCATTTTTCATCACCTCAACTTATAAAATGTCCATCAAAGAATTCAAGGATCTTATCAAGCAACAGACTTTATAAATTGTGTAGAGTCTAGCTTCTAACAACATCTTAACACATTAATCCTCAGTACTTAATGTGAACTGCCTCAGTGGTGTAGTGTTAGAGCGTCCACCTGGAGAGCGGAAGGTCGCGGATTCAATCCACGACCACATCATACGAAAATACGTTAAAATATGGTACTTGTTGGTCCCTGTCTGGCGCTCGGCATAAATAGGTACAACAACGACTGGTCGGCTCGGAGTCAGTATAATGTGTCTGAGTGGGGTATTCATGCTTCACTGCGGCATGGTATCTCGGTGAGCTAGCACTATAAAACCAGCTTAAGTCTGGGCTAGTACAAGCAGCTACACATACACATGCATGCACGTCGTCATATGAGGAAATATTCTTAAGTGTGATGTTAAGCCCCATTTCACCTCACCTCTTAACATTTAAGTCCTTATTGTGGCTGGCTACATACAATTACCTGCGTGTTAATTAAGAAATACAGTTCGCAATACCACCATGTATAGTGTAATAGGGGCGGTGGGGTAGCCTAGTGGTTAAAGTGTTGGCTCGTCACTCCGAAGACCCATGTTCGAATCCCCACATGGGTACAATGTGTGACGCCCATTTCTGGTGTCCCCTGCCGTGATGTTGCTGGAATATTGTTTAAAGCGGCGTAAAACCAAACTCAGTCAGTCAGTATAGTGTAATAAAGTACACTTTTACCCTGAACTATTATAGTTAAAGTACAAGGATGCTTGCGTAATAGTAATTACTTGATGTCAAGTTCCTGGTGATAACATTGATCTGGGTGTCATAACATATGAGGAACATGATGTTACGATTCACTTGAGTATTTGGTGAATTGAAGTGTAAACTTTCATGAATTCAATTTGTTATTCGTGTTCACTAGAATCAATGTCAAAATGGTCAAAATGTCAAAGAATTTGTTTGGTTATTGAGTCACTGATTGACTGAATGTAAAGAATAATACTTCAATTGGAACTTTGTCTGTATTTGTCATATGTATTATATTTGCCTCATAGTGGATTTGTTGAAGCCCTAATATATACCTCATATTGCCCTGTAGATCTGATAAGATGACTTTTGATTGGTTTAGAGCCTGCATTTGAAACAATACGCTAAAGTTTTATGGGTAGTATTTACATTTAGTGCTTTGTTACTTGCACTGGTGCAACCCAATATTATAAAGTGCAACCTAGTTATTAGTGTAACTTGCACCAGGTGCAAGTCAACTGTTGAGTGGGTAAACCTTTGAATAAAACATCTAAATAATTCTATAGCACATTTCTTTCATTACATATTGCAATTTGGCTGGTTTCTTATGACAGAATGTTCTTTTATCAAAATGTTTTGAGAGTGTGCCACTTTTTGTCCAGGAAGTGGAAATAGATTGGACCTAAGGATCTAATTTCAACAGTGGTATAATCTGAAATAACAAGCCCCTTTATGGTAACGCACAGTATATCCTGGTTATAATGCCACCGGTGTAGTTTTTGAGCCTGCAAGAGATATGTCCTTTCTAATATTAATCAGTGATGATCATCTGTTGCAACAATCATGGTGAAATGCTTTCTGTCCCATACCACAGCAGAATAAAAGAAAGACATTTCAAGAATATTATCACATTTGCTAAAATTTGCCACCTAAAAAATAACTGATATTGTCATTTAGTTGTTCTCATCTATGTTTGAAATGAGTTTAAGAATCTCCATCAAGGTTTCCCAAGCCATAATTAAGAAGTTGTTATGTATCTTTTTTGCAAGTCGTCGTATCAAGGAAACTGTGGTGGCCGAGTTGGTTAGACACTCACTTTCTGTCCTGGCAATAAAGTGCATGACTCTGAGAGTGTGGGTTCAAATCCCAGGATGGGATGTTCAGCCCCCGAGCCGAGCGAAACAAAGTGTTAAAATATGGTACAAAAACAACAAGGACTCTGTTCTTTACTTTAAAAGTGGGCTAGCACTGGAGTCCCAAATACATGCACGCGTCGTATAACAAATATTTACATTTGATTTAAAAAGTGGAGTCCCACATGTATAACATTTTTAAATCACTGGCTTTAGGTACTTGAAGGCAGAGTTGACTAAGGATTTCAACTTCTTTATTCATTCTGTGCTGGAGTGGCTTTTCTTAAAAGATTGTGCCATTATTTGGATGATTGCTTTGAAAATTTTTGAAATCTCAGTTACATGTTTCCGTTGCAGCATAGGGGCTGTGGGGTAGCTTAGTGGTACTACACTGTTGTTTTTCGAAACAGTTTGATTCCCCACATGGACACATGTGTTATGTCCATTTCAGGTGTCCCCACCGTGATATTGCTGGAATATTGCTCAAAAGCGATGTAAAACTAAACTGGTCTCACTTCCAAATCTAGAGGTATTTAATTGCAGGTAACTTTTACTACTACACTGTTGTTTTTGTTTACTGTTTGCATCAACATCCAGCTACTTATTTTCAAGTTGCCAGTGGTGGTCCAATTAATTGAAATAATGAGGATGACAATAAACGACCGAGGTCAGCAGTGATAAACAGATCAAGGTCAACCAATCTTGAAGATGGTCAAGATATGGTCAAGTCTATTGAGGTTAGATTTAATGGCATGAGATCATAACTTTAGCATGTCGTTGTCAATGTTGTTGGTCGTTTAACATATCAGCATGTAATATTCCAGCTACATGGTGTGATTGTCAAGTTTGATTGGTATAAACATGCTTAGTACAACACCATGATGTATGCAATATGCTTTATATAATATATGCAATACACAGTAACAATATTTATTATGTAAGCATATTTTCCTGCTACCTGATTGGTCTAGAGGCGGTGACGTGACCGTCGACAGAAAAGCATATTGACTCCAACCAAGGTCCGACCAAAAGTCATATTGACTTGAGTTACTAAAAATAGATTTTGACGTCAATCTATGACATCATTCTATTGTTTACATGTCACAGTATTGTTGTCATAATGTTATTGGTTTGTAGCGAAAATGAAATTGCTTTTCTTGACTAAATGGACATGTTTTGGTTTTTAGAAGCTTTTATTTGGTAATAACATAATAAAACAGTTATGGAGTGGTGAATTTGGTCAATACCTGTTTTTATGGACCCGCAAAAAGCAATATTGACCTTCGTCCTTGGTAAATATTGCTTTTCGCGGGTCCATGAAAACTGGTATTGATCTCATCACCAGTCTGTAATTGTATATTACCACTCAACACATGTTCAAGAACTCCCTGGGCCGGTGGGGTAGCCTAGTGGTTAAAGCGTTCGCTCGTCACGCCGAAGACCCGGGTTCGATTCCCCACGTGGGTACAATGTGTGAAGCCCTTTTCTGGTGTCCCCAGCTGTGATATTGCTGGAATATTGCTAAAAGCGGCATAAAACTAAAACTCACTCAAGAACTCACTCAAGAACTCCCTCGTCTTTCATGTAGTTATTGTTCATATATGTGGGATGTACATGAAATAGTTGTGGCTTCCATTCAAGAACACATTGATGTGTTGACCTCTGGTTCTAACTAACTTGTGAAATTCCAAATTGTTATAGGAGATAAGGGGGGCTCAAGAAAATAATTAAACAGCGTGGCAGGTTTCACATCTATAGGTTTGGGGAATAGATCTAAAAAAAATATATAATATTTACAAATTTGACTTTATTTTTGGGCTGGTTATTTCACCATGATCATTATGGATGAGGGGTGGAGGAATGAAGAAATTGTGCGTAAATATTTTTGCAATGGCAATATAAGCTGGCATTGGTAATATTTATAGAAATCTATTGTTGCAATCTTGGCATTTCATGGAAAATATTATTCAGTTATTTTTTGTGTTTTTCATCCTTCTGAAGACTTTTTTACCTCTTTCAGTCAAGCCCAAACATTACAGTTTTGCGAGAAGCTATCTCTGCCTTCAAAGCTGCAGTAAGGAAAGCGAGTGAGAAGCAAGGGGAGACAACCAAGTACAAGGTCGTAGGAAGCACTGGTGGGTAGAGAATAGACTAGCGCTTAGTCTCTGAATATATATAAGTTTGATATTAACATATATTCCAATTTAAATTGAAAAGGAGCCCCAGTGAGATGGGAAATTCAGAACCTGAAGCAATCTAGGCTTGCTTCTTTTAGGGCTTTAGTATTGCAGGGAGGGCTAGGTAGTAGGGGAAATAATGTGGTTCAGGGACTGCAAGACAGACTAGAGAATAATGACAGGCTTTGTGATTGTGGGTCTGTTTGGGGTGGGTGGGGAGGGGTTGGTTTGTTGGTTTGTTTTATGGGTCACACAACAATTTGCCAGCTGTTTGCTTGCAGTCAGTAAGAATTTGGGTCTGACCAAACAAACCAGTGATTGACATAACGAGTGCTGATTTGGGGGGGTGGGGGTGTTAGTGGGTCCACTTACACCATGCACAGGTAGAGGGGCACCTGTTTATACAGAACCCATGTCCTGTTGTTTATGGCCAGTCCCCAAATTCCACCACATTAACAACATCCACGGTGATGTGGTGTACTGGATGGGGTGAGGCGCCCGCTAAATATGAGACATTGTGACGAATCTAATCTTCAATTACACCTGCTTATTTGTTATTTATACATACTTCATGTCAGGCGACTATGCTTGGTGTAAGAGGCGACTAACGGGATCGGGTGGTCAGGCTCGCTGACTTGGTTGCCACGTGTCATCGGTTCGCAATTGCGCAGATCGATGCTCATGATGTTGATGACTGGATTGTCTGGTCTAGACTCGATTATTTACAGACCGCCGCCATATAGCTGGAATATTGCTGAGTGCGGTGTAAAGCTAAACTCACTCACTCACTCAAATGTCTGTTGCAGTGTTCAACGACGTCGTTCGTCTGTGTCTGATGGGGGTCGTCCCAGCACTGCAGGGCATCCTCAAGGTGCCAGACTTACCACAGCAGCAGACGCCATTCTCGGCCCAGAACGCTAAGTGGAAGAAGCTCCGTGTAGACATGAAGAGCTACATGGCAGATCTGCTCACTGTAAGTTTGTAGTCCTCCCTTAGTAACCATGGTAATAGTTTATAGTTTCTAAACGTCATCCACCCGTGAAGATCTGGGTTAGAATTGGTCTTCAGTAACCCATGCTTGTCGTAAGAGGCAACAGACGGGATCAGGTGGTCATGCTCGCTGACTTGGTTGATAGATGTCATCGTATCCCAATTGCGTAGATTGATGCTCTTGCTGCTGATCACTGGATTGTCAGGTCCAGACTTGATTATTTACAGCTGCAATATTGCTGCCCATGGCATTAAACAACAAACCAATCAATCTAAAGTCACTGCTACATTTTTTGCAACAGCTGCCTTAACATATGATTTTGAGTCAATGTCATGATTTGGTTGTAAGCAGTTTGCACCCCAATGTTATCTAAATCCAGGATCTGCCTTGTATATATAACTTTAGAAATTCCTTTCTTAAAAGACTAGTTCAGAAGACTTGTGAAGATCCCCATTAGAATTGGTCTTGAGCAACCTAAAGAGGCGACTAATGAGATCAGGTGGTCAGGCTCTCTGACTTGGTTGGCATGTGTCATCATATCTCAGTTACAGTCCGTTTGACTTCATTTGAGACCGATGAATTGCTCACTAACACATAATTTTGGACACCCGAATAAAAAAGTTGTTTAACAAATGATCATTATTTTGTTGTAACTTTTCACTGTTTCTTATGAGGGAGAACCACTTTCTGGTAGAACAGCCAGGTGTGCGAACTGTATGTGTGAAATTGAAAACGTGAAATTTCACTGCAAACGCTTGTTGATTACCTGGCTGTTCTACCAGCAAGTGGTCGCCCCTCGTAAAAAATAGCAAAAAGTGACAACAAAATATTGATCGTTTGTTAAACAACTTTTTTATTCGGGTGTCCAAATTTATGAGACAAATCATCTGAGTTGGTCTGTCGATTTCACATGACTGTGCAAAGTTTGATTTTGTTACATTTATTACATTTTGTGTTAGTGAGCAATTCATTGGTCAAACATACTATATGTAGATAGATGCTCAGGCTGTCGATCACTGGATTGTCTGGTCCAGACGCGATTATCTACATACTCCGCCATATAGCTGGAATATTGCTGACTGACTTTAAACGAACGAACACAGAAGCAAACAGAAAGAGAGTAAGGCAAACATTGTTTTACTTCTCCATTGAGTTTTGTAGCTGGTCATGCTTGAACGAGACAGTCCTGTTTACAATGTTTACATATTTGTAAGCTTTGTACAGATCCAGTTTGTTGCAAATCTGAAGTATTTAAATGACATTTTGAATTCTCAAAACGCTTCTAATCAATGCATATGAAATATTTTCTGTTACAGCTGTTGTCTGCCCTCTCGGATGCCGCCATGTTGAATGTGATCTTGAAACACATCCACAAGCTTGTCTCCATGTATGCCATGTTCCCCAAGTTGGCCAGGTTGTTGATGAAGGTGGGTTGACAGGAGGGGTTGTAGACATGCATGGTTGCAGTCCTGGGTTTGATCCCAGTTCAGTATTCAGCAAAAATGTAACATATGTTTATGTGTAACATGAGTATGGATTTCAAAAAGTAACATTTAAGGAGATAATGAAGTTTGTTTATTTTTCCCTATTGTGTCTGTTGGATGGTGCCACTCCAGACATTTTAAATTTTAGAAATAATTAGGACATCAAAATGCTGCGTTTAACGTACCTGCTTTTTTTAAGGATCATTATTATATATTTTTACTGAAATTTCTTTCCAAGGAACATTCAGGACCATTTTCTTGAAGTCCCAAAATGAGGTCAAATGATGAGTTCTATGTCAACTTTAAACCACTGGAGTACAAATGCGATTATCCTTTCCATTGTCCAGACTATATTTTAATCCTACCAAAAATGATTGAGGAGACATAAGACAATGGTCATAAATTCAGCTAACACCAGCGCTGAAATACCTGCCTGCCCGACCGCCCAGGACGGGTTATTTTCAACACGGACTGCCAGATTCTCAAATTCACCAGCCCGATGGTCTGGTTAAAACTTTAGCATGTATATGAAGATATTCATCATATTTCAGGATAAAAAATCATTATTAATTAACTCGTAAAAATAAATGATGAATTCCAATTCTTGATAAACTACGTCACTTGTCAAACCTAAATTATTTGTGGGTAGGTAAGTTTTGGTCAGGGCAGGCAAGTTTTACATCTAACCAGCCCTGTGGTCTGGCTGAAATTTTTGGGAATTTCATGCCCTGCTAATACATGTCAAGATATATATTTTCTGATTCTGTGATGAAGGAATCTGAACCCATGTATCTGTGTTCCAGAAAATGATCCTGTTGTGGAGTACAGGGGAGGAGACGACGAGGGTGTTGGCGTTCTTGTGCATCAACAAGCTGGTGCGGATGTTGCAGGAGGCCATGTTGGAGCCGTGCATGAAGGTGAGGGGGAGACAGATTCATGTCGCTGACTTGTGACTTTGGTCATTGCTCTGTTGTTTATGGTGCTGAGTTGTTTCCCTTTGCTGCTAACCAGTTTGCTGAGTAGTGTTATTTCCCTTTTCCTGAGAAGTATTTAACTGTTTAGAGTTGCTTCCCTTAGGTTGAAGTTAACCTAAAACATTTACAACCCCAAATTTGGGGAATTTGAATCTTACAATGAAGCAAGAAGAGTACTTGCCAACCCATGTCTGAAAACTGACTGTAATTTGTGTACTCTTTTCATTGGTGGACGTTTGAAGCGATATAAGAAAAACAAAAAGGGTGTTAATTTAGGCACTGGTTCCTGAAGTCAAAACGTTTTCAAAGTTATTATACAAAGAGTTCATACCTGCTAATTAAACAAGCATAACATGGAAAACCAAATATTAGTATAGTCTGGTTAAATGACATTGGTCAATTTTTTTATACCAGTCTGACTGTCATCTCGAATAAGAACATCAAAGTTCAGGAACATCAACAGTCTGTGTTAAGAACATGGTGGACTGCAATCCAAAAAGTACTAAAAAGTAAAATGTTGTTTAACAAACTTGCTGTGTGAAATATATAGAATTTTTTTTATAACTGACAATGTGATTGTTTTCCAGCAAATGTACATGGCGTATGTGAAGAATGTGAAGTTCACATCTCCAACAACTCTGCCGCTGATCAACTTCATGCAGCGCTCCCTGGTGGAAGTTTTCCTGCTCGACTCTGTCCTCGCCTACCAGTACGCCTTCATCTACATTCGTCAGCTGGCCATACACCTGCGTAACGCCATCACCGTGAAGAAGAAGGTGACATTGCTGGCTTCTAATAGTTCTGTGTTCAGTTCAATTTCTGTCTGAAATACTCAGGGGGTGCGGGGGTGGTGGTGGAATAGCCTTGTGCTTAAAGCGTTCGCTCATCACACTGGAGACCCGGGTTCGATCTACCCGTGAAGGTCTTGGTTAGAATATTGATCTTCAGTAACCCATGCTTGTCGTAAGAGGCGACGAACAGGATCAGGTTGTCAGGCTTGCTGACTTGGTTGACACATGTCATCGGTTCCCAATTGCGTAGAACGATGCTTGTGCTGTTGATCACTGGATTGTCTGGTCCAGACTCGACTATTTTCAGACCGCTGTCATATAGCTTGAATATTGCTGAGTGCGGCGTAAAACTAAACTCACTCACTCAGTCACTCACCCGGGTTCGATTCCCCACATGGGTACAATGTGTGAAGCCCAAATATTTAAAGGTCTTAATGGTGTTGTCACTGCCCCAAGTATACAGTACATTCACCATGTGCATTTAACTCACTCATCCATTGGTAGATTTAGTAAGTAACAAAAAACTCTTATGTCAATATTTGTGATGACAAATGGGCCTCTTTTCATGCAGCATGTCTGGTGGTTATAGAAATGTGTTAGTGCCTGAAGGCATTTTGGTTGTATACTCCCCAGGAAGGTGAGAATTTTACTGGAATGAATATGGATCCGCTGGTCAGGGAACAAGTAAACCGTATTTGAGTAGATACCAGGCCATGGATAAATGCAGAATGTTAACGTATAATGTTACTTCTGGCACAGTGTTCAGTTTTCATTATCCTTTCATTCCACTTGTAATTCCAGGATACATGCCAGGCGGTGTATAACTGGCAGTTTGTCCACTGTGTGGAGCTGTGGGCGTGTCTACTCAGCGCCTCACAGTCTGACGATGTCCTCCAGCCTCTCATCTACCCTCTCACCCAGACCATCATTGGCACCATCAAGTGAGTTTCAGTTGGTTGAAGCTGCCATAAAATCTCTTGTAGCAAGCTCCACATTTTCCCATATGCTTGGCAACTGGAAATTGTCTGTCTGTCCTTGAAAATGTCCTAATTTGGTATCTGCCATGAAGACCTGAAAGTATTGAAAAGACCTAACCTTTACCTCTCCCAAGAGAATTTCTAAATTTCAAAAACTGACTGCACAGGTCCTAGAACACAAAACAATTTCTTTCACAACAAGTGAGTTTGGTTTCATGTCGCTTTAAGCAGTATTCCACCAATATCTCGGCAGGGGACGCCAAAAATAGGCTTCACACATTTTACCTATGTGGGGAATCGATCCTGGGTCTCCGGCGTGACAAGCGAACGCTTTAACCGTTAATTAATTTGTTATCCCACCGGCATGTAATGCGGTGGGATATAGTCGTCGCCTCGTCCGTCTGTCCGTCCGTCCGTCCGTCCGTCCGTAATCATTTTGTTTCCGGAGCATAACTCAAAGACCGTTTGATATTTTTCAACAAAAATTGGTAGATATGTCAAACATAACCTAAGGTGGTGCCTTTCACTATTTACAGATTATTGTCATTTGTATTTTTCTCGGTTTCCATGGAAACGTTTTTGACTTAGTCTTAAAGAAGGGTGGGCTTCGTTTCCGGAGCATAACTCAAGAACCGTTCAATATTTTTCAACAAAACTTGGTAGATATATCAAACATAACCTTAAGTGGTGCCTTTTGCTATTTGCAGATTTTTGGCATTTTTATTTTTCCTGGTTTCTATGGAAACATTTTGGACTTAGTCTCAAAAAGTAATGATTGCTTTCGTTTCCGGAGCACAAGTCAAGAACCGTTCAATATATTTCAACAAGACTTGGTAGATATATCAAACATAACCTTAAGTGGTGCCTTTTGCTATTTGCAGATTTTTGTCATTTTTATTTTTCCCGGTTTCCATGGAAATGATTCGGACTTAGTCCCAAAAGTGAGGGGTGGGCTTCGTTTCCGGAGCATAACTCAAGAACCGTTCAATATTTTTCAACAAAACTTGGTAAATATATCAAACCGATCCTAAAGTGGTGCCTTTTGCTATTTGCAGATTTTTGTCATTTTTATTTTTCTTGGTTTCCATGGAAACATTTTGGACTTAGTCCCAAAAGTGAGGGGTGGGTTTCGTTTCCGGAGCACAACTTGAAAACTTCTCTATATCTTTCAGCGAAACTTGGCAGATATGTGAGGCAGATCTTGAAGTGGTGCCTTTTGCTATTTGCAGATTTTTGTGATTTTTGGCATTTTCTCAGTTTCCATGGAAACAATTCGGCCTTAGTCTCAAAAGGGAGGGGTAGGTTTTGTTTCCGGAGCACAACGCGAAAACTTCTTAATATCTTTCAGCAAAACTTGGCAGATATGTGAGGCAGATCCCAAAGTGGTGCCTTTTGCTATTTGCAGATTTTTGTCATTTATCTTTTTCATGATTTCCATGGAAACGATTTGCACTTAGTCTAAAATCAAGCTGGACTTTAAGTAACTGTCAGATGATTTGTTCTTTCAAAGATGTGGGGGCCGGGGGGATATGTCATCTTCTGATGACTCTTGTTTTTCAAAGGCAGTGGAGCTCTTTCACAATCACATAAAGTAACTAGATGTTACTGTTAGTGTTACCATGGTTACACAAAATATCTGCAATTACTGAGCATTTGAGCTTTACACAGCAAATGTGATGATTGGTTAGTTACAAAGAGATTATTACAAGCCTGTCTTTCATACCCTTTTATATATTAAAACAAGTTGTTTCAGAACATAAGCTATACATTACTTAGTTCAGGAGCCATGATATAACTGGAATAGTACTGACTGTTTCTTTATTCAACAAACAAACAATCGCGTGTGGTATTTGTACTCAGACTTCTTCCATCACCGAGATATTTCCCACTGCGGTTCCACTGCGTGCGATGTCTGAACACGTTGAGTAAATCTACCAGAACTTTCATCCCAGTCTTACCGTTCCTGTTGGAGGTAAGTGTCTTATATTTTATTGTGGTTGCCATAGTTACTCATATATCATAGTCATAAACCTGGTTTATATTTAAATGGCTTTAATGCTTTAAAACTCATATGTGAAAAATTAGATCCATTTGTTTTATTTAATTCAGTTTGTTATTGAAATGAATGTCAGTGTGTCAGTATATATCATGTTGATTGTTGTCTAGGCTGTGAATGTATTTTTTTATGTTGTTGTTGTCTTGTTCCTCATGGTATGTAGAGCAGTGTGACAGTGTTGTTGGACATGTAGCCGTCAACAGTTGACATTAACCACATGTAACTGAACAAAACCAGGCCAGTAGGTTGAAGCCATCTGTATTGTTTGTGTCTCCAGGCTCTGATATTCCTCTCTGTGGTCTAGTGGTTAGAGCATCTGTCTAGTGGAAGCTTATGCGTTTGGGGGATAGTACTGGGGTGGTTACAGCGTGTTCCGCGTCGTCATCCCAGGCACCAAAATACCCAAAGGCATTAAAGATAGTACTGGGGTGGTGGGGTGGTCACAGTTCCCGTCACATGGGTTCAATTCCCCACATGAGTACAATGTGTGAAGCCCATTTCTGGTGCGATATTGCTGCAATATTGCTAAAAGCGGTGTAAAACCCAACTCACTCACTCACTCACTAAAGATGGCACTTGTTGTTACCCTCCCTTGCATTTTGAAATTGCGATTATAAGAATAACTAATTACAATTTATCATTCCTAATCTATTCATGTCTGAGGAGATGCAGGTCTCGATGCACACAGACATGGTGGCAAACAAAGAATCATAATTGTGATGAATCTAGATTCATGCCCATAGGACCGCCTGTGGTGTAGTGGTTAGAGCGTCCGCCCAGAGAGCAAAAGGTCGCGGGTTCTATCCCCAACCGTTTCATACCAAAAGACGTTAAAATATGGTACTTGTTGGTCCCTGTCTGGCGCTCGGCATTAATGGGTACAACAAGGACTGGTCGGCTCGGAGTCAGTATAATGTGTCTGAGTGGGGTATTCATGCTTCACTGCAGCATGGTATCTCAGTGGGCTAGCACTATAAAACCAGCTTAGGTCTGGGCTAGTACAAGCAGCTGCACATACACATACACACACATGCACGTCCTCATATGAGCGAAATATTCTCCAGCGCGACGTTAAACCCAATTTCACCATAGGTTTCTCGCATCCCCAAGCGACACAACTCTGCACGAGGGACTGTAACAGGGGAAACAGGAAATAAAAATTGTCAGTTATAAAAAGAAACTCTGTGCAGTCCTTAGACAACTGGCCCCGGCATCAGGACAAGATTCAGTGTTGTGACGGAATGGGATTGTATTTACGTTTAATGTGCACTCAACATCATAACATGGCTGTTGAAAAAAGTAGCAATAATGACAACAATGGAATTAGTAAATACATATATGTCAGACGTGTTTATTTAGGTCAGTTAAGTGCTTTGGAGTTCATGTTTGTCTTTTAGCAGTGAACATGCTCGGTTCACACTGCTCTTCATACTATCAGGAAAAGACAACTCTGTATTGCCTGTACTCAAGGCTGGTATGTTGTACATATTGTAGCTATTGTACACTTATTTCACACGCAGCAGGTGCTCCACATACATAGGGATTATTCTTATTGTTATTTTGATTTTCTCAGAGATTAAACATTCCAGTTGTTTTGGACATAAAAGTTGAAATTTGGTTTGTAAACATGACACAATATTATAAAGAAGTTGTCATCCATAAAATATCCTACCTTTGTTATTATTCATCAACTTCTAAAATGCCAATCAAACAGATCATGCCACCATCCCCTCAGTTGTAGAAAAATAATAATTATATCTTCACTTCAGTATATAAGGGGCGATGGGGTAGCCTAGTGGTTAAAGCGTTGGCTCGTCACGCCGAAGACCCGGGTTCGAATCCCCACATGGGTACAATGTGTGAAGCCCATTTCTGGTGTCCCCCGCCGTGATGTTGCTGGAATATTGCTACAAGCGGCATAAACCCAAACTCAGTCAGTCAGTCAGTTTATAAAACTCTTGAACCGGTTAAAAATGGCAAAGAAAATACAAATTGAGGTCGTGGAAATATGAGCTTTAAATTATATATTTGTTTTGTTTTCTCAAGTTCAAACATAGTGATTTGTTATAGGTTTCATTTAAGAAACAACAATATTTTAATATTGTATTTTATGAGATTAAGAGTGTTGACCATCCTAAAAATGGCACACAATAATCGATAACTCCTAAATCCTTCATACAGAACATCAACACACACATTGTGATATTTCTTGTGAGGTAATTTTGCAGATTGCTCTGCAAATAATTTTTTATTTTAAAGAAACCATTATACTGTATGTTAAAATCAGGAATGGGAAAAATTATATAAATTGAAACTCTTTGACACTCCTGTCAAATACGTCATGATACAGATTTAGATGTGACAACTTGTTGGTTAGTTCGTGACGTGTGAAAATCTAAACATACCAGTTGGTTTCTTCTAAAATCTAGCCATTTAACGTGAAACGTCTGAAAGGAACTGAGAGCTAGTTTGATTTAACAAGTGGTGCGTATCTGTGTTTTGTATTTAAATAAATAGTAACAACATTTTGACAAACCTGAATATTCAAATGAAAGAATGTTTTGATTCATGTTGCCCAAATTACATTAATTGGAATATACTTTGAAATTTCAAATTGCTTAGATTTGTGGCTTGATGCAGAAAACCGGAAATGTTTAATCTCTGATTGTGCCCTTTAGATGTTGTTTTTCAGTGGAAGGTAGGTCATTATATGATAACTTGTGTCTATAGAGTCAGCAAACATTTTCAACACTGAAGAGAAGACAAGCCTTTCATTGCAGAAAGAGAACTTCTTTTTTTCAAAGATTCAAGTGGCAATGCACAGGAAATGATTGCTGGCATGTTTAGAATTATTTTCATTTCTCAACAAATGATCAACATCTATTTCCTCCATTCGTCATACTTAGTTGCCTATCAAAGAAGTACTCAGTTGTGGTTTCAAGGGAACTTGGAGTTACCTCCCTTATATCAGGCCACGTTGACACTCAAACTGTTTGAAGCAACCATAAAATATATACATTGAATAATTAATTTTGTCTGCAATGATGAAGCAGATTGTTCTTCTGACAGCAAATAAACATCTTTGCAAGCCAACTTATCAATTGCATAACATATCATAGTATGCCTTTTTATTGGTTCTCTAGGTCAAGATACACTGTGATATCTTTTCAGTATTGATGATTTTTCCAAAATCATTGCATGTAAAATGCAGGTTAACAAATAATGATTTGTATTGATTATTGGAGAAATGGTGTTTAAATATCTGAGTCACAGATAATCTATAAAATGGTATCCGAAAACAGCCAACTGAATCACTGTGATGCACGGTTTGAAAAACATTTTAGTCATGCAGGAATGAGATGCATACTTGTGTTTAATCCTTCATGAAATCAGATATTCTACCCAGTTGTGACAAAACACTGAGTCATCTGAGAATAAGATAGTAATTGAGTCACCTGTGATATACTCTACTGTTGATGCACTATCAGATGAGTTTGACTCACTGTTTTTTGAGTCACAATGTATACACTATTTAGTAGGCAGTTACAGAGTTGTCTCCCTTGGACTGAGCATGGCGAAATGTCAGCAAAGGGTTGCATCATCACAAGGCGAGACAGACATGTTTTTGGCAAGGTGCCAGCTTCTGTATCATTCAGATCTGTTAGCCCTATTGTCGCTGGTTATATTTCATTGTACCCATTTGTGCCACTGCATTAGTTTATCTGCGTTTCTCGTATTACGAAAACAGTTACGCAGACAGTCCACATCCTAACCTTGATATGTTCTGTTTCGTGGCAGGTGTTTTGGCTATGCATGGTATATATTGTTTCATTGATTAGCATATATTAGTAGCTGTTGTCAGAATATTTCTTGGAGTTATGGGAATTTATTTATTGTGTAAGAAATTGAACAGTTTTATATTCTTGTTCCATTAATACACATACTGAATTATTAATTATGGAGATAGATTATTAATATTTATTACAATTATATTTTTGTTATCATGCTAGTGTTCTGTGTTATTCTCGGATGAGAATCTGCTTATTGAAAAGCTCGGAGCTTAACAGCACAAGAGATTGGAAATGGAATCTCACGGAGGGAAAGGTTAAGTGTTAATAGAATGTTCTCACAAACTTGTGAAAAGGCCTTTAATTTAAATCTTTGGGGAGGTAGAGTATCCTAGTGTTAAAAGCATTCATTTGTCACACTAAAACCTGAGTTTGATACCCCACATGGGTACAATGTGCGAAGCCAATTTCTTTTGACTCCTGCTGTGATATTGCTGGAATATTGCATAAACTGGCCTTAAACCATACTAGCTCACTCACTCAATTGATAGGATGTATTGCTTTGAAAAGGCTGAAGCTGTATCATCTGTAGTTAACCTTGATATTCTATAAATTATTGAATCACATAATGAAAGGGCCGGTAGGGTAGCCAAGTGGTTAAAGCGTTCACTCGTCGCGCCAAAGACCCTGGTTCGATTCCCCACATGGGCACAATGTATGAAGCCTATTTCTGGTGTCCCCGCCATGATATTGCTGGAATATTGCTAAAAGCGGCATAAAAATAAAACTCACTCACTCACATAATGACAGATTAGCCTGTTATGTAAACATTAGAGTTCGCTGAAGCACAATGTGGATGATTTAAGGGTGTGAGGATGGACCTATGTACTGGTGATAAAATAGAATGTTCTAATCAGTTCTAATCAGTCTGTTGCATACTTGGGCCTTGAGGGGCGGTGGGGTAACCAAGTGGTGAAAGTGATGGATCGTCGCGCCGAAGACCCGGGTTTGATTCCCCATATGGGTACAATGTTTGAAGCCCATTTCAGGTGTCCCAGACCATGATATTGCTGGAATAGCGCTAAAAGTGGTGTAAAACCATACTCACTCATGCACTCATTGCCTTGA